GCGTTTCTTTATGGACGTAAAAGAAAATAATGCGATGTAGGTTAGTCGCGGAGGGACCGGGAGGACAGGGGGGGCTGGTGTCCCATTTGCCCGGCAACCGGTGGAAAGACATCACACCAGACTTGTTGATGGTAGTGGGGTTTGAACATTTCTCTCTGCTGTTGCCACCTCCCCCATCTCCCTACCTCCCGCCTCCCTCATCCTCCCAGGTTGCCTTTTGATGAGGCACGGATCACTTTGACCCAGCCACTAATAAATGAAGCAGTCGCCGTTGTGAAAAATTTATGAGGCTGATCTGCAATTAAAAAAAACAAAACGAATAAAGGTTAGATGTTGTTGACTGTGAAGCATCGGTGTACAGCACATGTTTAATTGGTCTCCATCCTCGGTGGACGCGTCCACATTTAGGTCCCATGCACATTGTTTGTTGTTTGTGATGAGTTGGCGGGGGAAGAGCGTCGCCGGATGTCAGGGGTCATTGTGGGTGTGTGAGTCATGACTGGGGGGGCGGCGCCTGGTCCCGCAGTTTAACGGCATCGCCCGCCGCAGCAGATGGTTTCCGTCACCGTGGAGGGGCGAGCGCGGTCAGAGGGGAGGGGGCGAGGGGGGGCTTTCCTTTAAGGGTGACTGATTGTCGCTGTGCTCGTTAATAACTACGAGGGGATCGAGGCAGCTCTGCACAGTACCAGTTTGAACTAGAAGTACGAGGCCGTTATCGCTAAAGGAGATGAATGCATTTTAGTGTTTGGAGCCATTCAATTTAAATGTTTCCACTCCCACAAGCTTCCATGAATAGATGATGACGTACCCCTGCTTCACGTTGTTTGGACAGAAATCAGGCGAGACTTGTTCCACATTGCCTTGGCACTGGCAACCTTCGCCACTGCCAAACCAGCTTTTGCTGTTTGCCTTTTTGGTCCCCCATATAATGGGCTTGTTGATTTATAATGTGCGAGGTTAACCGTATTCAGTTTCACTGCTCTAAAGAACGTAGAGACCAGACTTTAAATGTTCAAACAGACATGCATGTAATGTATTTGATATTGAATTATACTTCAGGGTGTGTTTTCATTGATTATTTTAAAGAGCACTGATCAAATTCATGTGCTTGAAAGTTGTGTGTTTCAAACTGTTATGTTTTTCAATTCAATTCATTTTATTTTGTATAGCCCAAAATCGCAAATTACAAATTTGCCTCAGAGGGCTTTACAGTCTGTACACATAGAACATCCTCTGTCCCAAAACCCACCATCAGCACAGGAAAAACTCTATAGAACCACCATCTACAGAAGCCTGTGGGGAGGGAGAGCACAGAGACTTTAGGAGAGGGTAATGTTTGTTTACGAGTACAGTAATATTATTAATAGCTAAAATGCTAACACATGATGATGACAGCAGCAGGCGTCAGCAGGGCCACGGCAGGTGTCAGGACCAGGGTCCAGAAGGAACTACGATCTATGGAGACCTGCCAGGGGAGAAAGCACAAAAAAACTCCCGGAAAGAAGCTGAATTAGTCATGTGCATTAATAAAACGTGAATTATGGTAGAACGAGAGCGTGAGCTCGGTGTGTCCTAAGAAGTCCCCTGGCAGTCTAAGCCTATAGCAGCTTAACTAAGGGCTGGTCCGGACTAACCTGAGCCAGCCCTAACTATAGGCAGAATCAAAGAGGAACGTTTTAAGTTTTACTTTAAAAGAGCTGACCGAATCTGCCCCCCGGACTGAAAGTGGAACCTGGTTCCACAAAAGAGGAGCTTGATAACTGCAGGCTCTGGCCCCCAGCCTACTTTTTAAAACCATAGGAACAACAAGTAACCCAGCATCTATGGAGCGCAGCTGCCTTGTAGGGCAATAAGGTGTTACAAGCTCTTTAAGATACGACGGTGCCTCACCAGCACGTGCCTTGTAGGTGAGGAGAAGTACCTTAAAATCTATTCTTGATGTAACAGGGAGCCAGTGCAGAGAAGTTAATACAGGAGTAATATGATCCCTTTTCTTAGTTCTTGTTAATACACGTGCTGCAGCATTCTGAATCAACTGGAGAGGCTTAAGAGATTTACAAGAGCAGCCCGATAACAAAGAATTACAGTAGTCCAGTCTGGAACTGACAAACGCATGAACTCATTTTTCTGCATCACTTTAAGACAGGAAGTTCCTGATTTTTTATGTTACGTAGATAAAAATAGGCAGTCTTCTTTATATGCGAGTTGAAGGTCATATCCTGGTCGAAGAGAACTCTCAGATTCCTGGCGGTGCTGCTGGGTACCAGAGCAATTCCATCCATAAAAACTGTATCACGTGACATCTGGCTTCGAAGGCGCTCTAGGCCTATCAGGATGACTTCCGTTTTTTCTGAGTTTAACATCAGGAAGTTGCCGGTCATCCAAGTTTTGATGTCTCCAAGACATTCTTGAAGTCTAACTAGCTGGTCCGTCTCTTCTGGCTTGATCGACAGATACAGTTGAGCTTACAAGCACAAACTGGGATCGATCCGAGTAGGATTTAAACCAGCTGAGTGCAGTTCCTTTGATACCAATTGAATGAAATTGAATTGAATTGAAAGTTGTGTGTTTCAAACTTATGTTTTTCAAAGGTGTTATTTTCCATTCTATTAAAGGATGCTGTGGAGTTGCATTATGGGAGATTTCGGATGGATTTCTTTTGGAACGTGAGTCATAGTAGATGGAGACTAATATTAAGGATATCTTGGTCTGCTACATCTGAGACGAGGGCGGATTCCCCACTGAGATACGCTTCAGATGTGGAACATGAAAACCAAAGCCACAGCTCAAGTTGATCTGAAAGATCCATATGCTCATAGGTTCCTACTCAACAAGTGAAATGGGAGATTACATTTGCTTTTATTGCCGTTTATATTGCATACATGTCCGTCTTTGGTGAATTTCATGTGTGGCAATTTCCTTTTTCATTTAATGATCTCACTAGTGTTTGTAATATATCAAACTATACATAGGACGTTCAGTGATGTCCCTCTTTGTGTTGGGAGAAAATCCAAATTTTTCTTTGTCTGAAAGCAAGCACCTTGAAAATGCAGTCGATCGATTAGTTTTATTACTGATGATTACAATTAGTCTTAGACTTTTTACTTCATAAAAGCAAACCGATGTAAAGACATCTGGTTGACCATTTCCCATTTTAGTGGTGGGACAATACTTCCACAGAGAGAGAACTGTAAACTTTGTCCCCTTTTTGTTCATTGATTATGAACAGATTATTGTATCTGTAGAGGGAGGGACACGTCACGAGAAAAGCAAATCCTCTTGTTCCAGTAAGTCTACTCATACTTTGCCGCTCCTGACTTGGTAAGCACTTTTACAACACGTCACTTGGAGAAATGTTGATTTTTGATCACATCAGTGTAATTCAGAGCGACGAGTTTCTCCTTGAGGGAGAAGGGCAGCATTTATCTCTCAGAATGACCTACTTCTAAAATACCAAATGTCTTCCCAGGAGCCGTGATGGTTTGAAGGGGCTCCCCATGGGCTGCTGCAGACGAAGCGTGTGTGCTGTGGTGGCCGCCTCGCTGTCATTACAGCAGCCGTGAATGTGTGACTCTGGGGCAGTAATGGTAATAGTCGTTTGACCGGTCAAAGCGGAGAGACATTTTGCACTTACGCGTCACTATCTAGTTTGGTTGTTTCTCGATTGCGTTGTTGTTTACAATTTACAGTCTCAGGCTGTGTGAAAGCCAACAGAAAGATCTTGCTCTGCCACTTCCTGTTTTACGCCAGATATGACAGTGAATCATAAATGCTGAAGTTGATAGATAGATTGTCAGATGTCTTCGCTCGGGAACATGACGACCTCCTTTTGCTCTGACGACTGATGTGCGTATAAACAAACAATATGCTGCACACATCTCTGTCCCTGGGATCCTCGTAGATGGTCCTGGACATGTAAAGCAGTGTTTCTCACATGCAGAGACGTGTTAAAGGAGTAATTACATGCAAAGAGAAATGATATGCGAGTGTGAACCAGACCAGGGTGTCCATCCCACTCATTTCAGGAGGTTCTTGAAAGTTATCAGTAATAATGCTGAGGCCTGCCTCAGTGTTCAACATCGTGTATTCTCTTGTGAGTGAGGTTTTGATGCTCATCGTTGCACCTTGAATGCTATCGCATGCCAGCAGCAGCATATTCCTGTTGCATTTTTAATGTCCGTCGGATTGGCGGTCTGATGTTTGATGCCCAGTAACTTTTAAACCCTTAATGCTGGAGTTATTGTTTGATGGAATAACATTAAGTGGTACACAGACTTAAGCAGAGGCACTTACCAACAGTTTCAGTGTCACCTTTTATTTGTAAAATACTCACATTGAATTGAGTTTACAGAGGCCCACGGCAGTAACTAACAGTTAAATCAGTGCACATGCATTAGGCTAGATTCAAAGCCCTTACAATAAACTCGACTTGTTTGCGTGAGCTGAGATACAGTGTTTGTGTTGCTTCGGAGTAATTTTGGATGTCATGCTTGTTCGCCCGCCCCCAAAAAACAACAACAACCTCAATGCACTGTGGTTTTTCCTTCAGGCTCCAAAGAGGCTAATAAACTGAACACAAGCTATTGAACCAACAAAATACAGCAGCGCACACAGTGTACAGCCAGCCACAGGCACACACACACACACGCACACACACACACCATTGTAAAAGGGGAATGGCACAACAGTGCACATCACGGCTGCTTGTCAAGGCTTTCGCAGCTGTTCGTGTTCAGAGACGACTCCACTCCTCTCCGTTCTGATTCCTGCGTCTGTCCTCCATATTACAGAGCTGTACTTTTCATGTAAGATCCTATAAACTGCTATTTGGATACAATAAATGCCAAGTGGAGTTCTAGCAATACAAGCTCATAAAGCGATGTAAAGGTTTGATGAATTCTGTTACCCCAAACTCACTAGAATTCTGCATTTGTAAGTAACATTGTGCAGGAAAATAAAGTGTTCTGTCCCCCCCCCCCCCCCCCCCCCCCCCCCCCCCGTCAACCCTCCTCCCCCCCCCACCCAAAATCACATCACAGCTCAGCACATGTTACGAGATTTACAAGCCAATACCTTACGTGAGCGGTGCGGTTATGTTACCAGGCACCACTCGCCCCCCCCTCTCTTCTCCCTCGTCCTACTTGACAAAGTGCAGGGCCTCGGCCGCCACCACGGAGCCTTTGCTGCTGTCGAGGCTGGTGACCAGCTTGAAGCCCGCCTTCAGCGCTAGCATCACCGTCTCTAGTTTGAGACAGTCAAGTGTGCACAAGAATGTGCTGTCCTCCTTCAGCACCAGCCGCGAGCCCGGCTCCGACTTGATGAAGTGGCGGAACTGGATCACGTTGGACGACACCACGAATTCTTCCGGAAAGCCGTCCAGGCGGCTTTTGGAGATCTGCACCAGCCGCCCTTTGACCCTGTCGAGGAAGGTGGAGTCACTGCAGTACACCTTGAGGCCCTGCGACCTCTCGTGGCTGTCCGTCATCTCCAGGAAGGCGGCCTCCCGCTGGGCCGCCCGCTGGCTCTCCCAGTCGAGCACGGCTTCCACCAGTTCGCTCAGGCGGTAGAAGTCAGCCTCGCGCCGCAGGAGCCCCGCCTCCCGGAAGTCGTCGGGCAGCTGCAGCTCTCCGGTTCGGAGGTAGTTGAGCACATGGCGGAAAGCTGGACCGTCTCTGTCTATAAACGGATTGCCCATGGAGTCAGTGTGCTGAACCGGCTTCTTACCGTTGGCCAGCTCCTCCAGAAAGGAACCCTGTTGTTTGACCAGGGTGGTCCGATGGGCGGTGTACAGGAACCCCCCTACGTTGATGGTGATGGTACCTGAGGAGGGCTTCTTGAAGCTCTTGCTGGGCTGCAGCAGGTCCGGGTTGATGTGCCTCAGTTCACTTTCCATCCTTCTGAGGTTCCATTCCATTCTCCAGTCGCCCTCTCCAGCCTCCGACCCCAGCCGCCTCAGAGCCGGGGAGTCTGCACCACCGGCCGAGTCGCTCGCTCTCTTTCTTTCTTCCCCCCCACGCCCCCTTTTTCTCTTCTGGATCTGACTGTGCGAGCCTGAGCTGCTGCTGGGGAAAGGAGGTGGTGTTGTCAGCTGTCGGATAGTGACAGTGAATGTGTTTGAGAGTGTGTGATGCTGGAAGGGTGAGTGCTGTCTGGCAGAGGAGCTGCAGAGGAACTGGGAGCTGAAAACAGACTGGCTCTCTGTGCTGCTTGGTGTCCCTCCTCTCTCGCTCTCTCTCTCCCTCAGTCTCTCTCTCTCTCTCTAGGAGTGGGTGGGCAGACGGCGTCACTTTCAGGGAGGAGAGAGGGAATATTAAAGCAAACAAAGAGTACAGACTCCGCAAGCTCTTTTTTTTTTCTTTCTTGCTTTGCTAATATGATCAAATGATGCAGAGTTGGGGGGGTTTGCTTCCGTCCTTTTTGTGGCGTGAAATTGTCTTTTGTCTGAATACTCTTTTGCAGCCCAATCCATCAGGTTGCCACGGTTCCTTCCAGTTCGATTCGGGGCTTTGCTGACGCACCTTTTCTAGCTCATCTTTACATTTACTTATGTAAATTAACGCAACAGCAAATTTGTTTCTATGTTCGCATCCTGCTGTCTTTCTTGCGAGGTTACGAGCAGTCTGTCTTAGTAAATGTAAACGCCTTGTGCGTTCATATATTTGTATGGCTGTGATTTCTTTTAATTTAAAAGTTGTATCCGCATGAAAAACCTATCCATATATTGGAGAGGTAGCGTAATCATGGAAATACTAATTGAGAATGACGTGATACTTAAATAAATAATACTTGATAAAACGGTGAGCAACAGGTTGTTAACTCGCTCCACCTCCGAGTGCAGTAACATTCCAGTTCAATCACTACTGAAATGCTGCCCTCCGTGTCGGTTTACCTGAGAGAAGATCCCAGAGTGACAGCTCGCCATGTCTGCTGCCATCTTCTAATCATAAGCGATTAGTAGTATCATCAACAACAACACCCAATTGGAATTTGAAACGAGCCCGAGAACACACGGTGGATTGTGGGAGGTTTGACCTGCTTCCTGCCTCCGCTTCATTGAAACGGGCCCATCAAGGACAATCTTTATCTTCAAAGTGGATTGTCACAGCTGCTGCGTATCTCTGTCAAGCTGACGGCTCAGGATGCTCAAATTGTGTTCCTCAAATTGTGTTAGCGAGGAATCTCCTTCCTGGTTTCAAAGGGCTTGAATTATTCATACAGCTGCTCCACGAGCTTCAGGTGTAACATGGAGTCACTGACTGCTGTGAGGCTGGCATGGCAACCACTTGAAATATGGCCTTCAAAGTGATCGTGTTCTTTTTCTTAGTGTAGAAAATAGTCAAATGGGCTTTAATGCTACGTTTCAATATGAACCTTGAACACTTGCACATCTATAGGCAACTACAATAGTAGAACGTAAAACCCCTGCCTCCAACACGGATTGTCCAATCATAGCATAGCAACCGTAACTAGGCTCAGCCGGCCTTTCGAGCTTTATTATCTCTGTTAAAGCAGCCTGCGGCTGCAGTAACATTGAGACACTGCGTTCGGAGGATTTGTCAGTTTTACCCTAAACGGCGATTGCTAGTGTGGTCGGTGGGTCCGCCGCTATCTCAGTTGAAACTGAGCTGCACTGGCGACGAGCGGCCGTGAGCATGCTAAGCCGTTAAAGTAAAATCGTGAACACGGTTAATATTGCAATTGTGAGCGTTGTGATTTTGAGCATATTAGCATGCTGATGTTAGCATGTAGATCAACTCAGGACTTCCCTGTTTACCTATTTTAAGGGTTGGAAATGGATTTTCAGCAGCCACCGATGACGTAATCCAGTCAAGAAGCTCTTTGAAGCCGACTTGTTGCATATGGATGCTGCTAGTCGTGTAAGAATCAAGTAACAGACATCCCTAAATGGCTTCAAAGTGAATGAATGGAATCATTGAATTTCCTTAATGATGCAGCCTCCGGGTTTGTAGTGATGACCTCTAATGGGAAATTATATTTGGAGATCCAATCAGTGAACTCACCCCCCTCTTGTATTGCTTCTTTGTTGTCGTCGTGTGTAGATACGACGTGTGTGTGTGTGTGTGTGTGTGTCTGTCAGAAGGAGAATGTGAGAGGGGTCAGAAGAGAAGCCGGAGGCAAAGTAACCGGAGCAGCTTATGCAATTTGTCAGATCTTGTGTTTGTGAGAGAGGAAATATCTGTGTTTGACTGAATGCAGCGTTGGTTTAGTAAAACCTCTAAAGATGAAACCCAGTAGGATTTGTTCCGCTGCAGCGGTTCTCCGGGTCTGAAGATCATCGCTGATGGTCTTTGACCGACATATTTGTGTTTGATTGTTAGTGTGATATGTGGGCCCGGCTAGTTAATCTAGCGGATGGAGGCCTGGTGGGCGGCGTGCTGTTTGTTGTGTTTAACTTAGGAAGGTCAGAGCTTTGAGGAAAGGGCCTTGGAGCAGATGGAGGTAAGAGATGAGCGCGAGGGGGTGGACGAGAGACCTCCTCACCCTCTCATCTGTCGCTCTCCTCCTACTGTCTTCACTCAACTATTAGCCAAATGCAATGCCGTCTTAAATACACTTAATTCATGTTTTTCTGATTTCCCTTTTATTATTATGTTTTTTTTGTTGGGTAGAATTTTTTTTCCTTTCTTTTGATTGAATTGGGCCTATTGATTCTGAATCCGATCTCACTGTGCTATCGTGGCACGCTTCAATCAGCTCGTTTACACACTCTGCTGGTGGAAGTGACCGTGTTGACATTGAGGTTGGGGTTTTACAGAGAGAATCGTTCTGCATTGAAATGTAATCCTTCGTCAGCGGAGGATTTGATCCCAGCGGAGCGCCGGTTGTTCATCAGCTCCTTTGACTTGAACTTGGAGACCGATTGAGGATTTCTTTCGGAGGAGTTTGTTCTGAAAGAGCAACACACCGCTCGATGCGATGAGGTCATAGTTGAGCTCTGTTATGGACGCCACAAATGATCAGCCAATATTAGAAATGTGAAGCGCATTTGAGTTTTGGGAATTATGCTAATTTGCCTTGTTGGTTGGTTTGCTGGTTGCCTGGCAACCTCACAGTGACAACAGGACACCAGGAGGCTTCTACACTCCGCCAAGAAATAGTTTTGGCACAACGTATTGTTTTTACACTTACGTTTCTCTATTAAATGAAGAATATTGAGGTTTTGGTAGGCGGATACTTTTGCATATGGACAGAATCTGTCCTCTGCCGTTGTGCTTAAGGACAGACAGAGTGGTGTCTGTCTTTTGTCTCTGCAAGAAGGTGAACAGCTAAAGGAAATTCACCTAAATGACATTATTCATTCAGGGAGAGCAAGTGTTTCTTCCCACTTGTCCCCGACGTTTCTGTGCGTACTTTTTTTAGAGAAAAAACGAGACACAGAAGAAAATTGGTGAGTGTGAAACGGTTGTTAAATAAGCAAGAATGAAAGTTGTAGACAGATTTTCTGTTAATAAATGAAAGCAGGAGCAGCTGCCTGACAGAATGAAATGCACCATGTTGCCGTGTGATTTTAACGCCTCGGCCTCCGCTCACCAGGTGGACTAATGATTCCTAACGCATCTGTGAGTGACAGGTGCGATTCCAGTGCTTGACGTCTATTGAAGGTTTCGGACCAAAACGGGGATGTGGCACTCAACGGGTTTTCTCGCTCAGGAGCCTACTGTTTATCTCCGAGTGTTCCTCCCACTCACCAGAGCCTTGAGCTACACATCGCAGAGTCCACGTCCAGCGTCCGTCTTCTTTCTCCTTCCATCTCCACACTGTGCGTCTTCTCATGATAACAAAGTGTCTTTTCTCTCTTTCACAGTGTTGGGAGAGTACTTGGGAAGCAGGGGGAGGGGGTTCACGTTGCTGCTTGGCCTTGCAGAGATCCCACAGGGCGTTTGACCATGACTCCCGCCCAGCAGGGATGTTGGTGTGGACACATGTTCCTCTCGTGTGGGCGTGTTTTTAAGACGTGTTGCTGGCAAGTGCTCCGGCGCTCACCAGGCAATAATTGCACATAATTGCATCCATTTGTGGAAAAGGCAAAGATGAACATTAGTGAGCATTTGTCGCCTCAAGATTAAACACGGACTCTTACAGGAACGTTACGTGGCACATGTTGTCAGGTGGCGTGTGGTGGTTACTATGGTGACCGTGGCACCTGCATTTCTTCAGCTGCGGTTAACACTGAATACATCGGGGCATTTGTTTAAATTTCTAATTTAGTTGCAGATACACAAAAAAACATGATAATGAATCCATCCTTCTGACAAGAATTACATCTGTAGCCAGATACTGATTTATATTTTATTACTCTGCCATAGAGATCTGCTGTTGCCCATAAATGATGAAATTAATACACAGTCACACTATTTCTGACATTTCCCTTCATTACCATCAACATGGGCACTGTGGTTGTTTTGCTGTCAACACCACATGCATTGTGCTGCTGTGAATAAAGCACTCCAATTAAGTCTGTTAAAAGTGTTGTGGTTTTCTAATGAGGTCTAAAAACTAAACTGCACAGCCTTTTTTTAGAAAATTATAGCTCATTTGCAGTTCAAACAAAAGCTATGTTTGCATCGGCCCGTTGCATTCAAATCCAGACGTTTAAGTGTTTCATTATTATTTAATTGGTCCGTACTTACAACAATGTAAGATTTAGGCCACACTGGTGACCTGGCATTTTATTTATCCTCAAATTAATATTTCCTCTTTAGTGAAGCTTTTAGTAGTTTTGCTTTTCTATAACTTTCATGTCGCTGTGTTTTAACTTGTGAGCTGACGAGGCTTCCTGATGATTGATAAAAAAATAAGGGCGACATAACTAACAAACTTCTCAGCTACTTTCAGAAATGGTTCTCGTGCACTCAGTGTTACCGCGGTGACGTACACACCATGTTGCTCGGGCACGTCGGTGGACCTCGGTAGGACGAGAACGACACACGCAGTGGGAATATAAACCCCTGTTGGAATCCCATTATCTGTGGAGACACAGGCTAGGGAATAAAAGCCGCCTGGCGCTTCAGATGACGCTTCAGATGACGCTCGGAAGGAAAAGACGTCACCTCCACGTGTTTTTTCTCCCCCACGTCGTGACTGAGGGAAGTGTGAAGACGACAAATGTCTTTGGCTTGTATTCCAAAGGGGTTTACCCGGCAGGATGTGACACCCGCGGATCCAAAACTGTTCATGGATGCTGTACCAGAGCGTTCAAAATCAATTAGGCAGCCCCCTCCTCTCCAGCTCACCTGGCCCTTTTTTGAAATCCGTTTGTTATCAATGCCTTCTCAGTTATTTGCTCCCGGTTGACTCGCGCTCAGCCTTTGTCCTCACGCGGTTTCTCTCAGCTGGTTTTCGTCAGCTGCTGGGGGGCGAAAAGCGCCGCTTCTCAGACCTCTTGCTACGTGTCCAGATGGAAACGATGCCAAATGCCACAACAATGCACAATGGGCCGAGCTGCTGCCAATGTAACGCCGACGCTCACCAACTGGACTCGTCGTTCCGATTGCAGCGGAGCAGAAGAGTCCTTTTTTCGGAGCAGGGTTGGGGAATGAAATGGAAATGCTCTTTGAACGGTGTCGATGTTCTTCCAATTACTTTCCACTGACTGGCTGCAGCGCAGGACTTCTATATAAATGAGTTACTCAACATAATGAGCTTCATGCCTGTATGATTGTTACCAGACTGTAATATTGCACCGCAATTAGAGCTGGCAAAGCAGATTTGTGATGGATGCGAGGAAGAACAGAATGTATCAGGGCTGCATGTTGTGGTTACTTTCAATGAATAATTGAAAAATTGTTCTCAGAATCAAAGCTGGCAAATTCATATAATTTCTTTCCAAAAACCTAAAGGTATTTATAATTTCACAAAACTGGCTCAGACTTACAAGTGGTTTTTTTTCATCCTTCAGCCCTAAACGGGTTCCTTTTGCGATGTAGAGGCCAGACGTGTGAAGAGAAGACCGCTGTTCTTGGTGAAGCTTCACTGTAGAAAGTGCATCCTCCCCCGTCCCCCCCACCTCTCTGTACCTCATGGGGATGGAGACTCTCTGGTTCCTCCCCACCAGCCCAGGAAGTGACTCATGGAGCGCTGAACTAAAAAGGGGACAAAGCATATTGTCACATATGTGACTCAGACCGCTTTCTTTTGATAACATTGTGAATAACTCAAATTACATGGAAAATCTGGTTATTTTAAGGGATTGTAGATTAACATTTTTCTGAATTTTGTCTTGTGAAAATAGTCATGTTTTGAAAAACATGTTGAAAAATGTCATGTCCAATGTCATTGGAAAAATATATATATATATATATAATATTCTGTCAAAACTGATTTGACCTCAAAATAATTTGGAATATATATCAAGGTTCAAGGTTTTCAAAAACGTTTAAAGATGTTATTGTGTGAAAAAGTCATGAATAAAAGATAAAATGACACAATGATTAGGTTGATTTTTAAATTATTTAAAATAATTAAGTCTAGTTTACCTTGTCCTCAATTTTAATTTGACCATGAATGCTTCATTCTGTACGACACCATGTTGTAAGATATTTTTTTCTTTATCGTTTTATACTTTTTACGTTTTTACGTTTTATACTATACGATGTAAAAGTCACAATCCATGTGACATTCTAGCGTTCTCTTATGTCTTGATTTTATTATTCGCCCAGTTCGGTTGGACATTATTTTATGTTTTCCTTTTTAATTAGTAGTTATACTCAGTATAAACAGGAGGGAAATGTTGGAAAAACTGCAATCATAAAAACACAAGACCACATCTGTATCACTTGTGCACTAAGTTGTGTGTGTGATATGTCAGCTGAGATAAGATGACCGCTCAGGATATGAGATTTGTGTCTCAGGATAAAGAACATCCACGTCCAACGAGGTCATTGTGGGAGCGCAGAACCTCCCTGTTTATCACCGTATGTATGCTGGTGCTGCAATGGAACCTTTGAGTAGCCTTGGCGCATGACTTGTAGGTGTCTCCGCTCTGACTCCTGAACATGTAATGTGCTGTTTGGATGATTTTACACCACTTGGGATGGATGATTTCTGCATCATTATAAATCATTCCCAAAACAAACAGTGGAATTCTGCCACGTGTCCTATCAATGTTTTCTGTGGGGCTTTCTCCTTAAAGTGTTCGTCCATAATATCTGTGTGTGTGTGTGTGTGTGTGTGTGTGTGTGTGTGTGTGTGTGTGCCGTCTCTGTAGATGAAATCCGTCTGGAGGGGATGGTGGTGCACAGAGCTGAATGCAGACCAGTCGTCAACGACGACTACATGAGACTGAAGAAGTGAGTGAAATCTTTGAAATCACGTTATGGTCGCAAAGAAAATGATCGACGATTGATTGTACGATGGTACCAATATAAAAGCATCTTAAGGTTTAAAGTTGATTAGGGAGCCGTTGTCCACCAACTTGGACGATGTTTTAATACCGAGTGTCATGGATGTAAACAGAGTTACGGCTCCTTTCAAAAGAAATCGTGGGACTCTCCAGTACAGCAGCAATACGACTGCACCATCAATTACAATGAAAAACCTTAATCAAAGCTTCATTTGTAGAAAAGGAAGGAGGTTGGATATCGCCGCTGTGTCTGAGGCTGCGTCACATTCATAGTTTGTCTTTTTAAAATTACTATTAATTGATGGATTTTTCATTTCTAAAAAGATGGAACACCAAACCTCCCCAGCTGAATTCATTCCCACGGGAGTAGAGCGGGCTGACGCGTTCGTTTGTGTAAACCAAACACTCGAAAGCACTCTGCCTTTTAAAAAAAACATTTAAATGGTTTCGGTCTCCACTTCATCACAGTGTCCGTTTTTCCAGCGAGTTGGTGCATGGTATTGCCATAGCAACCACATCACTGTGGCAGATGCACTGCCACCATACAAGCCAGAGCAAACACAACACGGCTTTCTTCTTTGTGTGTGTGTGTGTGTGTGTGTGTGTGTGTGTCCGTTTCTGAGACTTGTTCCAGGAAAGCCCATCACCGCACTGGGAACCGCCACTCACACGGCGGGTTTCTGCGCCGACGTCCCGGGACGGTGCCGCGCTGTGGTGTGCAGAGGACACACTGAACCTGGTATGATGGGTGTAGCTGGTATTTCATTTGTGAGTCCACGAGGAACGTTTTTGAAAATCTCCCGTTTGGGTGGCAGCTGTCAAATGTCCCTCCATCATGGCAGGCTGAAGGAGCCGCAGGACATCGTGTTGTCATGGCGCCGTGTGTGTGTGTGTGTGTGTGTGTGCGTGTGTGTGGACATCGTTCAAGAACAGTTTTAGTAGGAACTTCAGCACAGCCTCATAGGATGGATAAAGTGGTTGTATACATCACTACTCAACTAGACGTGCAAAAAGAAAGAAATACATCTGAATACTCATAATCCAAATCATGTGACATTATTACGGAAGTTTTTGTTGTTGTGTTCATGTTATCTGATTTGATTGAGCATCAAAACTTTCAAGAAACTACTAAGCAATAAGAGGAATGAGCAAAAAGGGAAAATAGAGATAATAAATTGTCTACAATGCTTGAACATCATCCACCAACGTCCTCTGGTTACTATTTGTTGACGAGTACATCAGACAGCCGCACTGCTTTGTGTTTAATCTTTAATCTCTTCTGCTTGAAATGAAATGTTGAGTCGAGGTGAACAATGACTCGTTTGGTTGGTTCTTCCTCGCGCTGCCGACCTTGTCCCTTTTCCCAAAGGCACATCTGTCAGCAGAGATCCAGTCGGACCCCAGAAAACACTGTGTGTGTGTGTGTGTGTGTGTGTGTGTGTGTGTGTGTGTGTGTGTGTGTGTGTGTGTGTGTGTCTCAGGCTGCAGCTTAAAGAGTCCACGAAACCTCAGCGTTTGTCGCAGCAGCTGGAGAGAGCCGTCACGACCATCTTCAAGCCCGTGGCCGACCACGATTTCAATGTGAGAGCTAATAACTGTGTGCGTGGTGAAAAGTCATTTTTTAAAGGCTCACATCTCCAATTACCATCATGTTTAGATCCAAAACTGTTTTATTGATTAATAGACCAAATAAATTGATAGTGATTGCATAGTGTTTTACAATCAAACCCTTAAGTACTCTTTATTAATAATGCCAAAAATATATCCTTTAGTCCCGTAAAAGGTTAATATTTGCTATTTTCTCAATTCGTCTTTTTTTCTTCTTGGTGTAAAATATTTGTCACGATAAGCAAGATCGGATCCATAGTACCTGATCAAAGAGCGGCATTGTATCAAACCTGGATGTGAGTCGTGTTCTTTTTGTGGTCAGTTGTATTAACTCAAAGTCTGAATCTCAGCTGGAGCACGACAAGAAGAAGAAGACCGACGGGAAGATGGTGCGAGCGGAGAAGCAGGTCGTGTTGGACATGCTCTTCTCTGCCTTTGAGAAGCACCAGTATTACAACATTAAGGACTTGGTGGACATCACCAAACAACCTGTTGTAAGCATTACACACACACACACATTTAACAGCGTAGCTGAAAAAAGGTAGAGGAACCCAATACACCTGCCCACTATCCACCTTGCTTTGTTCAATTTGAGGAAATCGCCCACAACATGACGTTCATGCCTGTACACACAATCTCTTGTGGCTTAAATTTGGGCCAGCACACTCAAACGCACACAGACACACACTGGGCATGAATCGATGCTGCCGTGGATTCGTTCTCGCTCGCTGAGAACGGCGATGTGTAGGTGCTGATGAGACCTGCAGGTCCTCCTCTGCCTGATTGCATCTGATTGCGTAACCGCCAGCTGAGTAGGAGTCAAACGCCGCTCTACCCTCCACTCCATCGTCCCCGCCTGAAGCACTTGGCTACCACTCAAATTAAGTAACCAAGATGGCCATTGTGAAAAATCCGGTGCAGCCGGCATGTTTGTAGCAGCTCAGCGGAGACCCCCAGTGGTCGGGGGGAGTCCTGCATCTCTCTGGGAAATGGACTAAAATGCTAGTAGGTGGATTTAGGAATGCAACCTGATCCCAGCAGGGTCACTTCAGTGCACTTCTGAGTTTTTGCTTTTGTGTGTCTTCGCATACTCTATTTTTGCAACCGTTACAGTTCTTTTATAAGGCAAAATTGGAGCAACTGTGTTGAAGATTCACCTTATTCAAAATGTAATTAAAGTTATAGTGCTATATGTCAAAGGACAGTATTCGATATTGTATTATAAAATGTCAGTCTAGTTTGATAATTTCATTCATCAAGTATAACAATGTCTAAAATAAGTCATGTATGTTTAATACAAACATTCATCCCATTGTGTTGTTCCTGCAGACCCACCTGAAAGACATCATAAGGGACATCGGCGTGTACAACAGCAAGGGGCCTCACAAGAGCACCTGGGAGCTGAAGCCGGAGTACCGACACTACCGGTCTGCTGAGGAAGAGGAGATGCAGACAGCGTGAATGATTTACTGTCATTTGGGGGGGGGTCGTCTGCTTTGCACAGCACTCAATCATAAACACGTTCACAATTCCATTTTGTAAGTAGTGTTCTTGCTTTAACAACTTACCTCCCACCTGAAAGTCCTCAAATTGCATTCGGTGATTTAAGTTTATGATCCGGTTCCGTTGCATCAACAGAGCCCGGTCCCCCACTGACTGACTTTCCACACTTTATTTTTTTAACTAACCACTCGTGCACTGCAGTCACACCAACCGCCAAGTCAAATGACTTTTATGTCTGACATATTGGCATTAAAAATTTCCTGCATCATCTGGGTATTTTGAAAGTGCTGAGAAGGTCAGCAGCTTATTTGACGTCCATGCAGACCATGTCCTCAATGAAGTGATACAGCTGGTCCTGCATAGCACATTGCCAACCTAAAAGCAGCTGGTTTGACACACATGATGGCACGATGTGGATTCCAGTCGTGATTAAGTCGGCACCCAGTTAGTAATTTCTGAATGTATTTACAAGAGCTCATTTTAAAAACATTTTCCCATTTGTCTTGTATGCACACGTCAATTATATTAACACTTAAATACTCAAATAGAAAATATAACAGCAGAAATGTGGTGGTATGGGACTTTATTTTCAAATTAAACCGGAAGAATTTTCATTGAAGATGGAATCTTATTTAATGCAACCGTAACTAGGTCGGAGGTCAACCTGTACGTATTTTTGCTAAAATAGTATGCAGACAGATGGAAAAAAAATACATCTTTCAGTCAGAAGTCCACTCATTATCCTGCCTTCTTTTCGATGACAATCAAAACACTGCGAAAAGCCAGAAAGAATATTTAAAACCGTATTCAGTGACCAATCGTGTTTGAATCACCCAGCCTGGGGCGTGGCGAGTGTACGAAATTGTAAAAGTTTATTTTCCAGGCATGATGCAAAATGCTCCTTCAGTCTGTCCGCTGGGCCGTTTGAAAAGCAGATGTAGTTCCAGGTTTTTACTGCAAGAAAGAAGAAACCTCAATTTAGCTTCAGCGGTCCACAAAACAAGGGCAAATATAAACTTCTGGTACAGTTAATACAATTTCCAGGCACCATAAGGGTCTTTAGACAGCAACGCTTTTGTACACTCGTACACTGATTTGAGTGTGTGACTATAATGAACCACGTTACTTCACATTGGTGTCTACGGACAGTACTTACACATTTCTCAACGATGAGACCATCTTTGAAGAACAACATGTACGGCGTGATGCCGTCCTCGCGGTAGTCCAGAAGTCCCACCATGCCGTCGCCATTCATCGACTCTCCCAAGTAAAACTGCAGGGAGACGAGAGTCCGTGAAGATCACAAAGTACGGCGCGCAGCAGAAAGACGAGGTTGTGCAGTCGTTTACTTACCCGGTATTCTTTCAGGTTAGACACGATCTTCTTTACTCCCTTTTGGATTTCAGCCACGAAAGCTGCCACTCTGTCCGGATTGTGCTCTTCCAGGTGGGCCTTAATGCTGGACATGGAAACAAAAGGAATGGGGGGGGGGGACTTTAGATCTCACCACCTGCATGTTGGTATTTTCAGTACACTGGTGTCATTTTGGACAATCAAGACAAAAAAAAATACACAAGGTAAAGTACATGGCGGGAAATGGGGCGGACTCATACTCACGCTTTAACGTAGTCCTTGATGTAGGCTAAATACATCTTCTTGTCGTAAGGGGGGGTCTCCTGCAGGTTGTGGTTGAGGACGATGTCGATTCCAGATGTCGAGGACGTGTCCGTGCCCTCAGATGCTTCTTCAGCTGATGCGTTGGCACCAATTAAAGAATCATCAAAGCCCTCCGTCCTGGTGACCATCTACACACAATGGGGAAGCAAAGGAGGCGGACGGATGTTAGGGGGCGAATACCAGACAGTTTGCTCGTTGAATATTAGTCCCACGGTGACTGAACAAATAGCAAAACGCTTAGTAGGTCTGGTGAAACATTCACATCCTGACGATTCAGCGTGCAGTTTGGGGGTGTAATTTTATAAATGTACATATAAAATATAAATTGTTTGTGGGTCGTAAACTGTTTGAGCATTACAGACATACACATGACAAATGTGTGAAAAATTCATACAGAGACTACTGCATTTGCAGCGGATTGCTTGCCGCCTTTCTTAAAACGTTTCTTTGTCGACATTTTTGGCCAATTAAATAAATCATTAAGACTGCTATACAGTGAGAGCGGACTACGTGTCGGGTTCATCGGCCCTTTAAAACCATGAGGACAAAAAAAAAACTACACACTGGTCTCACACAACTCATCCGGAACACCAACTCACCTTTCCTTCAACTTCATAGAAGATGCCATCGTCAGATTCGATGATCTTGAAGGAGTCTGAGAACATCTCATCGTCTGCGGAGAGGGAACAGGGAGGCGCGTCACGGGGCTGCCCCTCACAATGCGTCATCATTCCGGCGCTACGTAGGCGCCGGCCGGTAACCGGCTGAACATTCCTTTGACCTGACTAATCAGATTCTACCATCTTTGTGTTTTTATAACTTTGTGGTTAATTGAGAGTTATCGGCTGAGTGTCGTTCTATCGGCTACGTGGCGATGCTGGGGAACAATTGTGTGCCTATAAATAACAGACGGGGCGGTTAGCATTAGAAGCTACGTGCCGCCGTGAGGCCTCGTACGCCGCTTTACTTTGTCACGGACAACGTTTCAGGAATTTCCCGAAACACCGGTCCGCGCCACGGCCCCGTCACGGGTAGACACACGGTAGTAAAGCATAGCCACTCTTTTTTTACCCATGTTATTGATAACGTCCCTTGATCCACGGACCGACACTACAAGCTAAGCAGAGCCCCGCATTGCCGACTAGCACTTTGTGGTTAGCATCTGGCTAACACGAGTTAACTAAACGGTAGCTAGTAACAACTATCTCCAACGTGACACGGAACAAAAAAAACCACTGGGACGTTATATGAAACAAAAGATTACATTCTAAGACACTACTTACTGCTGATGACGCACTTGTAGATGATCATTTTGGGACTTCGGTGTTAAATCTTTGAGACAGAGAACGCCGCCCTGCCGCCCAAACAGCACTGGAGAGGAAAAGAGCGAGGAGACCGCGAGGCACGGCATTTACATCCTGCTGACGTCACCGTGGGTCGGTTTCGCGTTTCTACACTCTGCTGCCAATTTGACAGTGCGGCATAAAGTGGTACTGCACGCACACGCTGAATCAATGAATACATCCAAGGGACTTGTGTTTCTGTGAACATCTGTATTTATATATACATTGATATTTATATACAATATATATTATCTAAAAACATTTGTATATATATATAAATATGTATTTAAAAATGTATATACATATATTTACAAAGTGTAGGCAAATCATATATATACACACATATATACATATATATACACACATATATATATATATATACGTGTATATATTTATATATATACACACATATATATATATACGTGTATATATTTATATATATATACACACATATATATATATATACACATACATATATACACACACATATATATATATACACACATATATATACACACACACACATATACATATACCCAGTGTTTTTTTTTTGATATATATATATATACATATACATGTGTGTGTGTATATATATATGTATTTATACATATATATACGTATTTGTATTTATACATATATATGTACATATACATGTATGTGTGTATATGTATATATATATACACACACGTTTATATGTGCACATGCACGCAAAATATTTTAAATAAAAGTTGTATCAGTTGAACATAAAGCCCGTGTTGAGATTGATAGCATGGTGGTGAGTAAATAGTGAGATGCAGCCTACATGTGTTTGTTATTGTAGTACAGAAACATTTGAAGCAGCCATTCATTACGTGTAAAGCAACTTTATTTATCTTGAATGAACATTGTGGTCATTTTAAACTATAATGGATTGGGTTGGATTTTACAAAAGCAGATGTAACATCGTCATCCTCCGCATACAGAGCAACACAGTGAGATAACTCAAGTTTATTAGATAAAGATGTGGGGAGTCCCACAGTAAAAGGTACAGATACAAACCAATGGGTGGATTCAAATTCCCCTAACTTTTGATTATATTTAAGACTTCCTCAAAAAAGGGAATACCAAAGTGGAGCTTATGAAAAGCACCGGCACATTTAAATTGAGCACATGCAAGACAAAAGAACCAAAACAAATTAAAAAGTAGCTCATTTACAATTATACACACAAAATAAACAAATGAGAATTTTATTCATAGACAATGATAAAGATGCAGGAGCGCAAAAGTATAGTATGCTGGCTCCCAATGCCTCCTCCCACATTCCGCACCATGTTTCCCAGTTGTGATTATGCCAGAGGATAGCAAAATATATTATATATATTTTTACCAGGCTACTGCCGCCACGTTTCTAAAATGAAGACTATAAATCCGTAGTCCTGTAATCAGCGTTTAATTCAGGAAACTCATCACCATCAAGTGTTTTCCGACCTTGCAGTCGAGGCTACAGCTGTCCGCAGTCTGTGATGACGAGCTTCTTCGCGGGCTTTCCTCCCTTGGTGCCCAGCTCTCCCATCTGCTGCACGACGTCCATGCCGTCCCGCACCCAGCCGAAGGCCACGTGTTTGAAGTCCAGGTTTTCGGCTTTCTTCAGGGTGATGAAGAACTGGGAGTTGTTGGTGTCCCTCCCGCGGTTTGCCATCGACAAGATGCCCGGCCCCGTGTGCCGAACGTCAAAGTTCTCGTCCTCAAACTTGCTGCCGTAGATGGACGTTCCTCCAGTGCCGTCGCCGTTGGTGATGTCACCGCCCTTGAAAAAAAAGGACCAATGGCGAGCTTCAGTTAGTAATATTACACAGATATCTGCCACGTACAAAAAAAAACTCAAGTGGAGATAAAGGAGCCCCAAACAAATGACAGAGATGCCCATTTGTCATCACCGAACAAACTCCATACCAGTTTCCAATAAGTTCAACAATGCACCAGTTCCACCTCTTTGCACGTGAAACTGCCGTCACCTGATCACCTCACCTGACACATGAAGTCCGGGATGACTCGGTGGAAGACGGAGGCCTTCAGCCCGAAGCCCTTCTCCCCGGTGCAGAGGGCCCTGAAGTTCTCTGCCGTCTTCGGGACGATGTGGGAGAAAAGCTCCATGGTGATGGAGCCCAGCGGCTGGTCATCGGCGGCCACGTGGAGGAACACCAGGGGGTTCGAGTCTCTGGAGTGCTCCTGGACTCTGGACATCTGCGGCGAGGAGACACACGACACGTCGCCTTCCGTTTGGGCCGTGCGGCTCTGGCACTCGCAGAAGGTCTTCTTGAAGGATTCGGCTATCTCGGGGGTTTTGAACTTGGCCGCCAGCTGCTCCACTGTGCCGTCGCCGTCTTGAAAAACAGAAGACGAAAGAGCGTCAACGAGAGCTCAGCTGCAAAGCATCAATGCACCTCCAATGTTTCCACTTTTCCCTGGAGACCCGGTTTTTATGAGTCAAAATTATCCTTTACATAAACTCCTTTAAATTGTTGCTATGATCCTGAGGATAAACTTGCAACACAACAGTTGTTAATGTCAGCATGTTGAGGGGCGCTAATGGATAGCATTTTAGTTCTGAGGTGAAAGAAAAATCAGGAAATGTTGAAATATTTTCCCCAAGACACACGATTTTCAGGGACATTTGACTTTTTCCTAGAATTTTTCCCGTGTTTTCGAGCGAGTACCTGAGTAGTCGGTGGCGGTCCAAATCAGCGCGTTGGCCGAGGCGTTCATGGGCTTGAGTTCCATCGCCTGCGTGATCGTGTGGTTGGCACAGACCCGCAGCACCTGCTCTCTCCTCATCAGGACTCGGTAGAAGCGCTTGGTCGGGTGGAAGAGGATCTTCAGGTCGCCGACGCCGCGCTCCTTCCATTGGCCGAGGTCTCGGTCCCACCGGTACAGCTTGGCGCGCTCCTTGAACAGAATCTCCTCGTCCTCTTCTCCAGACTTTGTCTCCACCTGAAAGTCACACACAAGGGTGAGGTGTGGTCCTGTACATCGTCCACTGAACTTTATGCATTAAATTAAAGAAAATACTGCGGGTTTGGCATTTTTGAAAAGGTACCTCCGGCAGTGAGACAATGGGCTCAAAGTGAATGTCCTCTGTATTAGAAGTGTCCTCTTCGTCGCTGCCCTCCTCGCCTTCGTTTTTGGGCACAGAGGACAATCCTCTTCCAAAAACGGTTGCTCCAGCATTTGCCCACGAGAAGTTGGAGTCTTCAGAAAGGACAAAAAACAAATAGCAACGCGAAATGTAATTTTGTTGCGACGCATTTGTAACGCCACCGTAAGTCCAGAGATCATCTTAAGAAATGACTGTTGAAGCAAACCTTGACCTCCAAAAGCATAGGCGTCTGTAGTTTTGGCCAAATCCGCAAAAGATGAGCCTCCCAGCGCTTTGAAACCGAAGTTGGATATATCTGCGGTGAGAGCAAACAATGCAGTCAGGAAATACTGGACTGAATGCAGTTTCTTGGATTCCCTTTTTGAATGAAGGATTCAGTTTGTTGGCTAGAACAACATTGACATCTATTCATAGACATTACATAAAGTAAAGGAACTGGTATACAAGTATTATCAGCTAAATGTATTTAAGGAGTGTAATCTGCTGTCCAAGTCCCACAGTGGGGGAAGCTGGTGGTGTACAGCAGCTAAGTGGATGGTGCAGCAAGACACATCAGTAAAAAGCTCATTTAAAAAATAAACTTTTCTGTGATAAGATTCCATATTATGCCAGGCTGCAATGCAGCGCTCACACAAAACAACTAGGGCCAGCCGTATATCAATGACTACATATATGTAACCAGGAGACACATTATCAGTCCAACATCCGTAGTGATGAACAGGTGTTCTATACCGTCACTAGACGTGATTAAAGTCCCAGCGCTGGACTCCGGTTCTGGGCTCTTCTTGGTAGACAGATCAATGGGTGAGGTAGTGCTGCTGCTGGGAGCTTCACTCAGAGTCTCGGCTGGCTGGTCAGAGATCTGCTGCTCCGATGTAGACAATACCACCGCAGCCTCCGCGGCGACCGCAGCCTCCGTGGCGACCGCAGCCTCCGTGCCGCTGGACAACGACCCTGATGTGGGTTCTTCTTGGACTGCAGCAGCGCTGCTGATTTCCGCTTGGTGTAACTGAGCACCCTGAAACAATTTAAGAAGTAAACTTCAAAACTTCAACGAGACACACAAGATAAAACATCGTTTTTTCAGGAATCACCTCATTTTCAGAATTGGGGCTGTATTGGTTTTGTAACATCCACTAGACTTGGAAAAAAAAGCATCCATCCTTATTTTTGACTGAACTGTATTTCTGACTGATTTATTCTAAATTCACCAAAAGACAACATTGTAAAATGCAGGAATTTTTCGATACACGTGTAGTCAGTCGAATATACCAGACTTCCCAGTCATTATGGTCTGTATTCGCAATCTGTTATTAGGGTTTTAAAAAAAGTCCAGAGAAAACATTTTCTGCTTAATGCATTGATAAAAAAAAAAAAAACATTAAAACCAAAATCTACATTATAAAAACCTAGACCAGTTGAACAAAATGAAACATTAAAAGCCAATTTCTCTTGAAGAAACGTATTCAAATAGCGCATTACTAAGATACAGCAAATATAATGTAAATGTGTGTGTGATATATAATATATATAAATAAAAGTTGTGTTTTGTTGCTTATTTGATCTGCATAAATGCAGAGCCCTTAGGGGTCCGGTCCATTACCAGGTCTTGGTGCGCCTTGCGGACTTCCGTCTCAAAGTCCTCGGGCTTGTCTTGGTCCGGGTCGCTGTCTGTGGTGCTCAGGCCGCAGAAGAAGTGTGGTGGAAGCTGGAGGCTTTTGGCCTTCTCCTCCTCCACCGGCGTCGGCTTCTTTTCCCACACCACCTGGCAGTCTGGCTCTGCACGCAGGGCACATGAGTTTAGGCAAGTTAGCATAACCTGTGGATCCATCCTCATGCTTCAACAACAAGTCAATAGCGCATAGTAATGGATATGATGCACATACCATCACTGCATGCCGCAGCCTCTTTTTGAGGAGGATCGGGGTAGAGCTTTCCATTCAAGGCCTTTACCGCTGCCTCAAAGTCCTCATCTGAAAATAAAGAAATCCCATAACATTACATTTTCCTAGTAACTCAAGTGATCCAACAGATGTTGGTAGGGGCCATCTGAGGAAGAATTTGAGACCGGTTTGCTTTGACGACTTCTGATTGTATGAAAATGTAATGCTTCATTTACACATTTTGAGGGATGCAAAGAAACAGCAAGAAACGCTAATTGCAAATAGATATGAAAAAGATCAGGATTTTTCTTTTTCGCTCACTTTGTAAACAGGATTTCATCAAAACATGAACCTGTTTTTATTTAAATTATTTATATTATTGAAATGTCAAGATTGTTATGTGGAATGTACATTCCCAGTTCGATTAAATAAAACACTGCAGCACTAAACGTTTTTTTTAACGAAATTAGCTTCAGATAAATTGGAAAAAATGCCATCTGTGACAACAACAACAACCCTTAGAAAAACTATAAAATATGTGTAAGAACAGTCTTTGTATTTACTATGTTCATTTCAACAACACATATGCTCATTGATTAACTTCTGCTCTCACCGTCGGTTTGATCGTCGCTGGCGTAGCCCGGTTCGTTCTGGTAGCAGAAGAAGGTGAGCGGCAGCATGAGCGTCCGGGCTAAATCTGCCTGTTCAGCAGTGGGTTCCCTGACGTACACCACCTCCACGTCAGCGTCCTCCCCCGAGCCTGCACCGCCTCCGGCCGCCTGAGGCCCTGAGACGGATACAACACAAACAGACGCATTGTGAGGAGAAACTGCTTAGAAGAAGGGATTTAACCGCTACATAATCAAAAAGGTTTTAGTTTCAAACGCACACACACAAAATAAAAGAATCATGCAGAGCAAAAAATGAACAGCATGCATTTCATTTTAAAATCATGAACAACTTTACCAAAAGAAAATTTCTGCGTAGGTCTGTTAATTTTCTGGGTTGATTTGATTGACTTACGGTCAGTCACATGGTACTGTAAAATTAAATACCAGAGATCTAACTCTAATTAGCCTTCGCTGAGGCAGAAGTCAGCCTAAACGAGGGAATTAGATTTCATGCTGTTGCTCCACATCCTGCACTAAAAATGGAACGTGTGGAGTTTGCGCAGCTCATTCCTCTGAGGCAACGATGTACCAGGAATCTCCTCAGCTCACCTTACAGAAGACATTAACTGGTGACTCCTGTTGCTATGCAAAAATTGCTCTTTGGTAGTCAGGGTGGTGTATAAAGAAAATCATCAGTTCAAAAATCAACTCTTTGAGCAGTAAAAACACAAATCTTATGTTTAAACTATTTTTGATGACTTAACAGCAGAAGACACAGATGAACTAGCAAATACACCCCCTCCTTTGAGCTAGGAGCTACTCGAGTATTGCTAGAATCACTCAAACTCTCACACTGGACATGCAACACATTAGCATGGTTTGTTTTTCCCACTCCGTGCTTCCAGGTTATTTCTGACTCGTGGTACGGGCCAGCCAGGTGACAGCTGAGAAGTGTTAACACACACTGCAGTGATTAGAGTACCTGGGGGTTCAAATTGGGTTGATGATGTGCTGGTCCAAAAAGCCATTGGGTTATCTTTGAAAAGCCTAAAATCCAGCCCTAAAGGATGATGGGTTGTTGGGTGGAGAGAAACTAATTGTGAGGCTGGTATAACCATAAAACACCGCCAATAGGGTTGAAATGATAATAGATCATATGCTGCATAGCTTTACCAATAAGTACAGAACATATTGATGTAATGAAACAATGTGTATAAGGCGACTACATCGGGAGGAAATGGTAAATCTGGAATACAGTCTATGCCCCTAAAAGATTTTCGGAAGGGCTCAAAATCTTTGGCTGGCTGAGGATTACGCTGGAGCAATGAGATGCAGATGAAACAAGACTATGGAGTAAAACTCAAAACAAATACCACTGTAATGCTCTCAAAAATATAATCAGATAAAGACGGCACAAATGCAGGATTTTTTTTTTACCTTTCTCTGGAACTTTGAATGCAGCTGAAGCTTTGCCAGGACGTTCAGAATCTTTGAAACCAGATGACGATTCCGCAGTTTCAGAGTGAGATTTAGGAGAGCCAAAAAACTTCTGAAGGCTCTGAGTGCCAAAGACAAACTTAGGGGGGGACACCACCGTCTTTGAGGGATTAACAGGACTTTGAGAGCTAGATGTACTTGGCTTGGCGTTGGGAGGAAGCTCTGTACGCTGCTTTGTGGTCTCCTCCAGAACAGCGATGGCTGCCTTCCCGCACACGGGCATAGCAGCCGGTGAAGGTGGTGTAGGCGCCCCGTCTTGAGGCGTGGTGACCCTCGAGGTCGCCTCAGTCATGAGTTTGTCGTTTTCTTGGGCAACCTTAGCCTCCTCAAAGACCTGTTTGAATGCGCTTGCGGTTTCCTGCAGCTTGAATCTCACGGCCAGCTGCTCCATGCTGCCCTCCACCACCTCGGCAAAGTCCAAGGCACTCCAGACCCAAGCCTTCTCCGCTCCCTTCATCGGCTCCAGCTTCATGGCTGCCGTGATCCTGTGGTTGGCGCAGATCTTGAGTACCTGGTCTCTCCTCATTATTAACCTCACGCGTTTGGTGTCGAAATTCTGCAAGACCTTGAGGTCCCCGATGCCCCTCTCCTTCCACTGGCCCAGCGCCTTGTCGTAGCGATACAGTTTGGCCCGGTGACTGAAGACCACCTGTTCGTTTTCCTCCCCGGTAGATATCTCCACCAGATCCGGCAATGGGACCACCGGCTCAAAGTACACGCCGTCCCTCTCCTCATCCTGGCTGACGTCCTGCTCGTCGTCAGTGGCCACGGAGGCCCCGCTCTGGTTGAGCTTAGCGGGAGACTTTAAGGGGCTGATGCCGGGTTGGAAGTTAAAGTTGAAGCCACCTGTGGATTCTCCAAAGCGGAAAAGGTTCTTTCTTGGGGGGCTGCTGGCAACGGGCGAGGCATAGACTGACGGGTCTGCAGTATCATCCAAGGCCTCTTCTCTTAAGTCGTAGTTATCCCACTCCAAGGTGGGGCCGGGGGTTTCACCCAGAGGCTTGACTACCAGGTTGGACACATGGCTTTTTGTGGTAAGCTCTCCCTGTCCGTCGTCCTCTTTGATTTTGGTTTTGTCATCTGTCAGAAAGAATTTCAGGTCTTTCAAACCAGACTTCATTTCCTCCGCTTTCTGAATGAGGCGTGCCGTTCTGCCAGAGTCAACAAGCTTGTGTGGGGTTTGTAGTGGAATGTCCAGGAGAAGCCTCTGACACTCCTCAAACTTCTCCTTGAACTCCTCTGCTAGCTCCGGGGTTTTAAACTTGGCGGCCAGCTGCTCGAGTCTAGCGTCCCCATCGGAGAAGTCGTTGGCCAGCCAAATCCATGCCTTGTCCGAGCCTGCCAGGGGCTTAAGATTCATGGTGGTGGTGATCCAGTGGTTGGCGCACACCTTCAGAACTTGCTCTCTTCTCATCAGCACCCTTAGCCGGCCATTAGAAGTGTTTTTCAGGAACTTAAGGATTCCGACGCCCCGCTCCTTCCACTGACTCGTGTCCAGGTCGAACCGGAACAATTTGAGACGCTGGGAATAGAGAACCTGCTCATCCTCCTCCCCAGTCACCAGGTCCACTTGATCAGGCATCTGGACCACCGGTTCAAACTGGATGTCGTCGTTTTCCTCAGTCTTATACATGTCGTCTTCTTCCAGCTCATTTGTGGCCTCTGCCTTGGTGGGGATCGTAAACAGCGACTCACCAGTCCCAGAGAGACCTTTGAAATTGGGGTCGTTCTGGCCAAACTTAAATTTTCCTTCAGAAGACTCTGCCAGGTCAGCAAAACTGAACGCTGCGATTTTACCAGAAATTAACGGATTTTGATCTTGCTCCGTTGGGTCCACTGAGGGAGTGGACACAATCTCTTTCTCCTTGTGCTTGTCAGCTATGCTTCGGAGAAAACTAGAGGCTGACCCTGATGGAGGCACCTGGTCATCTGCAGAGGGAGTTTCTTGTGCGGGATCCTGAATGCCGAACTTGAAGCCACCAGCTGCAGCCGGCAACAGGAAGGAGAAGCCTGAAGAACTTGTGGTACTCGATCCAGACTGAGGAGTTTCAAACTTAAAAGAGGAAGCTGAGCTTTGCACTTTGTTTTGACCAAACTTAAACGCGTTGGCAGTGTCAAAGGGCATCTTAAATCCAGTCCCAGCAGGCTGACTTGATGAACTTTTGTGGCCAAATGAAAAGCTGAATGTGGAGGACGAGGGAGCGGTGCTGGTTGTGCTTTTGGCATTTGGATTTGGGGTTTGACAGGCCACACACTTATCGGCAGAGGTGCCGTTTCTCACCAGACAGCCGTCACAATCCCATTCGCCATCCTTCATGGCAAACATGGCTGCTATAGAAGGATTGGGATTTGGGGAATGGCAGGATACACACTCTGCAGCAGAGGCATCATTTCTGACCAGGCAGTCACTGCAGTCCCACTGCCCGTCCTTTTTTGCAAAGATGGCCCCGAATCCTGAACCTGCTGGCAGAGTCGATGCGGCAGTGGCCGCCGGCGCCGCTGTTGATTTGGCAGCCGGGTCGGGGGTTCCACAGGCCACACACCTGTCAGCAGAGACTTCATTTCTCACTTCGCACGCATTACAGTCCCACTGGCCTGGCTTCTTGGCAAACTGGGCACCAAATCCAGAGCCAACGGCAGATATAGATGGTGCAGCTGTAGTGGGGGCTATTGGTGCTGTCGTTTTAGATGAGGCTTTAAGAGCTTTACAAGAAACACAACTGTCTGCTGAGGCCTCGTTTCTCACTTCACAGACATCACAGTCCCATTGCCCGGGCTTCTTGCTGAACTGAGAGCCAAAACCAGAACCAAATGCACTGGCTGTGTCAGCCGGTTTTGAGGCGCTGGTGCCAAATGTAAACGAGGAGGGTACCGATGCTCCCAAAGCGCCAAATCCAGTGAATGTAGATCCAGTACTGCTGGGTTTTGATGAATCGGTCCCAAATTTGAAAGTGAAAGGACTGGGTTTGGCTTCACTGGTAATTGGCATGTCTGGCTTGGATGAAGAATTGGGGTTGGCACTTTGACAAGCGACACAACGCACATCTACAGGTTTATTTCTTACACAGCACACATTGCAGTCCCACTCACCATCCTTCCGGGCAAACTGGGCTGCCAGTAATTCAGAACCTTTCAAGTTTTCCTCTTTCTTCTCAGGTTGCCTTTTTGCAGATTTGACAACCACTTTCTGGGCTTCCTCAAATTTGACTTTGAAAAGTGATGCCTCCTCTGCTGTTTTGAAGCGGATGGCCAGCTGTTCGGTTTTAGGCTCCTCATCTGCATAATCAATAGCATTCCAGACCCAGGATTTGTCAGAGCCGGAGTTCGGTTTCAGTAGCATATCAGCAGTGATGTAGTGGTTTGCACAGATCTTAAGGACCTGTTCTCTTCTCATTAGGAGGCGGACCTTCCCTTTCCCGTTGTGTTTCAGGATTTTAACATTGCCGATGCCGCGCTCTTTCCACTCTCTTGTGTCCGCGTCAAATCGATACAGCTTTGCCCTGTTGCAAAACATTTCCTCCTCCTCTTCTTCACCCGTTTTCACATCCACCTTATCAGGAAGGGGTACAATGGGTTCAAAGTGAGGACCATCTTCATCCTCCTCACGAGTGCTCTCGTTGTCGCTCTCTGCTGCTCTTTCTTCTTCTGCAGCAGAAGTGGGAACATCAAACACTGGCTTAGGAACTTCAACTCCAAATGTAAAAGGCTTGTCTGGCTTTTCAAAGAGACTTCCTGTGCGGGTGCTTGGCAAAGAATCAGCAAAGGAGAAGGAAGGAGTATTTTTATTTCCAAAGGTGAAGAGGCTGGTTTGGCCGTGGGGTTGCTCCTTGGCTGCAGGCTTCTCCGGGGCGTTATCAATTCTTGAGGGAAAGTCTGACGTAAGGAGTCCAAGCAGGCTTTCGCTGTGCTTGGCCTGGGAAGGTGGGAAAGTGAAATCTCCATCGTTGGATTTAAAGTTAGAGTTGAATTTAAAAGAAGATGACGGTGTCGAATGGGCAACTGCGCCTGCTCCAAAACTGGGCACTTTAGGGACTTCAGCAGGTGCCTGCTGGCTGAAGGAGAGCTTCCCAAAGTCCAGAGGCTTCCCCTCAGTGCTCTTAGGGGGCTGAACCACAGACGGCTTGGTGAAGTAGCCGGGTTCGGGCAGGGGAGGGTTTGTGCTTTGTACACTCTGCCCGTAATACTCTTCACTGTATGGTGAAAGAAGGCTTGTGGCTGGTGATTCAAACCGGAGGGGGGCTCCATACCCGGGTTCTTGAGGAGGGTAAATGCAGGGTGGGGCCGTTTGCAATGGAGGAGTATGAGTGGGCTGCTGGTAGGCGTACATATGCTGCTGAGGGGGCATTCGGTTCATATTGTACATTGGGCCCTGCGTAAAGAGAGAGAAATTGATCAAACATAATCTAATATACAAGTCTGTTACCATGAACACGTGTCATACAGTGATATTCACCTTAGTGGGGGTGACATTTGGTGCTGTGCGCAGGAGATGTTGAGAGTTATAAGCTGGAGACGGGTTGTAGTACGCCGAGGAGGCTGTGGTGGCAACTTGAAAAAGAAAGAAAGATGTTAGTTTATGGATTTAAAATAGTATTACAGTTTGAACGTATTTCTGCTTTGGTTGGATGGAGTGTGCTGACCTGTTAGAGGCGCCCCGTGGTAGGACTGGGCGGGGGTAAAAGGCTCCTGCAGGCCCTCGGCCCCGTAGCTCTCCCCATACATCTTGTGACGAGGAGAGCTTGCGATCCCTGAAGAGTTGTGTCTAAGATCATGAACTTCGTTCTGAAAAACATGGCACTTAATTTGATATTTGAGTGGATTACATAGAATATAAACATGAAATATTGCTCAACTGACGTTAGAACCAGAACTGCCAACAGGCGACATTTGTAATTTACTGTGTTTATTAATGAAAATTTATCACAGGTCAGGAAATCTAATTGGCTAAAATGTAATGTGATACTGAAAAAACACCACCTTCATATTTATCTTTTGTTATAAGACATTTTATTTCCATCAGTACAAAAAACTGATATAGCTGTTGTCTTTAAGAGAAATCTGGGTCAAATAGTGTGGAATGTAAAGAAAAGAGGTTGAATCTCTTATCCTGACCTTGAGGGCTTCCACTTGCTGACAAAGCATCTGGAGGAGACTTTTCTGGTCTTCCACCCAATGAGGTGGTGTCTTGGGAGAAATCTGAGCAACAGAGGAGAGAAATTAAAAGTCACTTTTATATAGCTCTGCGAGGAATCCCAGATAACACTTTACATACAGATGATATGAAGACATATCGAATGGGCTCCTGAAGCATAATCAGTAACCCAAACCTACCAGGTGTCTTTTGGAAGGAGAAATGAGGCTTTTGTTTGGAGAGGGAGTGGAAAATTTGATGTGGGATCCTGTGGCAAGACTGGAGTATGCTGGTCCTCTTTGACCCTCCCCATGCTCCTCCTCTTCATCCATGGCCTCCCCACTCTCACCCAGCTGCTGGTTCACGTCATTCAGGAGGTCCATAACTTCCTCCATGGAGACAGGCAGCTGGGACACAGGTGGGATGAATGGTTACCCGGCTGGAGAGTTAATGAATTAACATCAACAATAAAAAGCGAGTGGGACGTACTTTCTCAACGTCATCTGCATTTGCGTTGTAGATCTTGGACAGGTTGTTCCTGAACTTTCTCAGAAAAGTGATGCACCTTTCCTGTGTCTCCTCCACCCCGTTGCTGGCCTCCTCTGAGAGCCGCTGGTAGATCTGCAAAGGAAACACAGCCCATTGTAGAAATAATACCTGAGATTCTCTCAAAATACCATAATATTTTGTTCGGGAGTTATTTCAGATAGCAGCTAACATTGAAAAAAATAAAATAAATAACTAGCAGGTTGCTAGTTATTTCCACCTATTTGTCCTGCACCATTCACCAGATATCCTCTAAAACTCAGATTCTGAAGAAGGTATCAGCCTATAATTATTGGCAATGAACTATTCCTTCTTTAAAAATGGGAACTGTTTGACAACTAGCCATCATGAGCGGAGTAGCAAATAAACTGGATCTTGAACTTGTAAACAAAAAGCATCTTTAGTGCACATCTATAAAAAAAAAAAACTAAACCTGAAGCCGAGGTTTAAGTCATATGATAAGAGAAACTTATCCCAGTTGTTTAGAAGCGCATGACTTACCTGTGCCAAATGCCAGACGGATGACAGGTTATTGATGGTTTCCAAAGTAGCGATGGCCTCCTCCGTCTTGCCTTCAATGTCAAGCAGAACCGAATACGCAATCCTGTATTCCTCTTCATGGCCCTTTACAGAAGAAATCTGACAAGGAACATAGACGTGCTTTACCATTACCTCTTACATCCAAAATATCATATGATGAAAGAGAAACCCAACAGTATTTACCTGAATATCTTGGGAGTGAAAGTGCATGAAGAGGGGCTCAAGTGGTTCCGGAATGCTGCGTCTGTTTTTGATCTTTTCCAACAGGGGAAGTACAACTTTCCAGTAGTGGACACTGCGGCCGATGTACTCTTTCTGGTCGTAGAACGAGTTCACTCCATCACACTGGGTGGATGAGCGAAAACAGTTGATGAGCATCAAGAAAAGATAAGCCCACCACACAAGTAGTTTCTTCAGTCGATACAAAAACTACCGTAAAACCACGATTCAGAGACAGAGCCAGCACGTGTGGTCGTCTGAATATCTTGATCTCGTTCACATTTAGCAGCTGAAGGAAAGTGACAGAAAGGAGCAGGTGGAGAAGCACGTGTCTTCATGCAGTTATGCAGGGCTTTTGTGTTTATGCGTGTACGACTGCCAGCCACAACAGCTCTGGCCTCCTTACAAGCAGACTACATTAGTAAAGTTTGAAGTGGATCATATGGAAATATCTGTATTGATGTTCATGCAGCTGTCCAACTCCAAACCATGTTAAGCTTTTTCTGTAATGCAGTTTTACGATGCATTCGCCATGTTGCGCAGCACCAAACCGGAATCACAGCATTGTGACACCTTTTATGTTAAATTGAATTTGTCGAACTGTAGAAATACATAAGAAAGCAGCAATATCAGAAGTCTCCTGCAACTCTATCAGCTTGCAACCCCACATGAGGTCCAGACATAAACACGGTCAACGAATGGTGTCGTTTCATGGCTACGTGTGTGTGTGTGTGTGTCTACCGTCTGGCTGAGACAGCGTGCCCATTGGATGGCCAGCGCTGGTTGAAGGCCGTGCTTCTCTCCGGCCCTCAGAGAGCTCAGGCCACGCTGCACAATCATCCGCAGTTTGGCCGACGTGCTGGGACTACAAGGAGCACGCAACAAAACCAGTGAGTACTCACACACGTTTTGGAAACTAAAATGAGCTGGTGTTGACTTGTCGTGATCTGTCTCAAAGGCTTAATATGTTGGAATGTGTTAAAATTAGGCAACATCACCAGAATATTAACACTGATTCTGACAGAAACACATGGGAATATTTGTTAAAACAATTTGGATCCTCGTACATTTACATAATACACGGGAAAAACAAAAATTGTCCGTTTAACTCACGCCGCTCGTTGGTGAATTAGGCTGTCGACGGCTTCCCACCACTCGCGCTGTCGGTCGGTGGTCAGGAGGCGAAGGAGGGGCAGGGGGAGGCAGCGGGGCTCGTAGAGCTGCCGTTGCTGCTGTGGGTTTACGCCGCTGCTCATCTTTGCAGTCTCCTGGAGCTGGCAGTGGCTACAGAACACCACGCCATGTAAAAACACCTGGATGCAGGAAACCCAACAAGACGTTTACATTATGGTAGAAATGCTCAATTGCACAGGGACAACTAAAAATGAAAAGCAAAAGTGTGAAAAAATTGATAAGAACGGCTAAGTATAAAAATCAAGTTGGCCTTTATAGGCAATTGAAACATTTCCAAGTATGGTTACTTAGAAGTGTGCTTACAAACAAGTCATACATTAAGAGAAAAAAAGACCACTTTCTAATGAACGTGTACAGACTATGAAACGCTTACAGATCCACACAGCTCAGCAGGGCCCATAGAGGCCATATTGGATTCTCTCCTGTGGCTTAAATTAGTGATAACTAAATAATTTATCAGTGAGCCTGAAAATTCTGTCTACCAAATCTATTGTAACTTCTACACTGTCGACATTGCTGCATATCCGAATCGCATAAATAAACGTTCCTGTTACTTCACATCTCCAATTGCCTCATTCAATTTTCTCTTGGGAAGCGCTGAATTTTACAAACAAGCAAAACCTCTACAGCGCTCAGGGCTACGCATACCTCCAGGTCGAGCAGGCAGATGGATTCCGGTGTGTTGGTGTCCAGTTTGGAGGTCTCCAGAGTAAGCCTTGGAAAGAGTTGCTGTAGCCAGTCCCGGAGGGCTGGTCTTTGGGCCAGCAGGGTCCACTGCAGCCCCAACCAGCTCAGATGTTGCAAGTCTCCAGCATGCAGCAGGATGGAGCCTAGAGGAGGTCTCAACGTTATTATAGAGTAGCACAGACTAGAGCCTTGCACAATAAAGGAGTTTTGATGCAGTGCAATACATTGTACTGTAGCGAGAGCAGTGGGATCTGCATTTGCATTACACATTTAATTGTCAATTAAGATTTAGACAGAAAATATTACAAAACTCACTGCTTTTTCGACCTGAATTTAACACAATCGCAACAAAACTAAAGAAATCTTTGAGCTGCTAAAGTGCTCAGCCAGATCATTGGTTTCGTACCAGCGTCCCATTTGACGAGTTGAGACACCTCTGGAACCATGACGGCAATGGAATGAATGTCATCGTTGGCAATAAAGGAGGGTCCAATGGAGACGTGTGGTCCAAACAGGAGCTGAAGCAGAGACTCCTGACCACTGGGGTTACCAAACACCTCCACCACCTACACAGAGAAAACATTAAAATAATTCAACATCAGTTTATCAGTGCAATCTGTTTCATTCTTGAGAAGAGGGAATGGTGCATCTGGTTGTATTTGCATGGTGTGCACCTGTAGTGTATAATTCCAGGCTTGTTTTATGCCAAGCAGTTTAAATTATGACATTAAATCTATAATGTCGCCTTTTTGTAAAACGCTGTTCATCAAAAAAAAAAAAGCTCTCACTAAACTGAACGATAGTATGTGGACAGACCTCTTCGATCAAGGAGGCTGGAGCAGTGGTCAGATTCAGCAACATGTGACCGGCCTGACTCTGTCGGTCGTTGGCCAGCAGCTCCAGGAGCTGCGGGCTGGACTGATCTCTCTTGGTCACTTTAGCCTTTGGTCTCGGCGTCTGGTGGAAGGACAAAAAGAAAATCAACTGAAGTCGGTGACAGAAAAACACAATGCAAGGCCAATGTCAGGCTTTAAAGTTCAGGTGTTATTGTCCACCTTTGATAGGCCAGGAGTACATTTACAGCAATGCAAAGGGTGCAGGGAGATTTTGTTAAATGAACAACAAACCTTTGACTACTATATGAAAAATGTAATAACATTTTGCTACAACATTCTTAAAAATAATTCACATCAAACAAATAAAAATAATAATGTGCAAGTGATTCTGGAAACTGGCAGGCCTCCTCGCTGATAGGTTGATCCATACCTGGTATGCCAGCAGGTAGCATAGCGTGGTCAGGTCAATGACGGACCTCCAGGTATGTTGGTGATTCTGAGCCTGCTTCAACAGCAGCGTGCCGGCGTGCAGGTAGAGGTGACCTCTCATTTCCGTAAACACCTCACAGAGATCGTCTGGGTGGCGGCCAGCAATGCCGCTCAGCGCCTGCATAGCTTGGTCAAAACTACGCACACAAACACAGATTTAACCTACAGCAGCTTGAGTGTTCCCCTTTATTGATTATGCAGCACCATTAATGCAATCATTTAAATCCCCTGCTTGTCTTGCGCCGTTGCCTCTCCACACAAACCCGGAGCCAAGCAGAGGAGAGAAGGGTGAAGTAAAGGGAAAGTGGTTGATACTACTTGAACAACAAGTTATCTTGCCGACAGGTTCTGTGTTTTAGCAGAGTTGGGCCTGAGAATATTTGGTTAAAACAGATCAGTGATTCCGTTTCACCCTCATTGTTCACCGTGAAGTTAATGACAGTTGTTTTTTTGCTCCACTGTGTGTATAAAACAGCCCAGGACCTCGACATGACCTACCCGGAGAGCGCCTCGAGGCTCGGCTGGATGCTGCTCTCAGACAGTGTGATTCTTAGCAGGCTGCAGTGGGCCAGTAGCAGCTCTTTCTGGAGATCCCGATACATCTTCTCATTACCAGACACGCTGGGCTGAGTGAGATAATCCTGCAACACAAGCCATTCATTTTTCATTATTGTTTTAAATGTAAACCGGTGATCTTTAAGCGATTTTAAATACACTGCACACCAGCGGCCATTGATGCTGACCTGCAGTGTGCGAACCACCACTCTGTACCAGTCCAGGCTGTGGTTCAGCACGCCCCTTTTATCAGCAGCCAGGCAGTGCTTCACGGCTTCGTCGAGCCGTCCGTCCTGACAGAACAACTGAACAAGCTTCACGTTCACATGGGCGTCGGCTGGCCTCGCCGCCAGCTCGACCTGGAAGAGGTCGAACAAGCGGTTCCAACCCGGCTGACCCTGACGACTCAACAGACGCTCCTGCACGGAATGGATGGTTAAAGACAAGTTAAAAGAACGTATAATTAAAAGGACTTTGGTGGTTTGCTAATGGAGGTTTTATAGGTTTAAAAAAGGACCCTCACCTTCAGGTTGAAGACGGCAGGGTTTCCTGGCAGCAGCTTGGCGGCTTTCTCCACCCAAAACTCCGCTCTGCTGTCACATTCCTGCTTGCTGACCAGTAACTCGGCCACCTTCAGCACCAGATCCCTTTGGGCCGGGTTCATGTCCACTGAGCGCTGAATGCATACACACATACACCGATTTAGCGATTGTGCACTTTCTATGTGGTGTGGTTATGACAACAAATCCTATAGACTAGGTGACATTTTTTCTGACACAAAAATAGGTTGCAATAGGTTGTCTGCACACAAAAATAAATATTGAATTAATAAAACGTCCCTCTTACCTTGTAACATCCCACTGCCTTGTTGATGTCTCCCTCTCTCTCGTAGAGCTGTCCAAGGAATTTGTGTGCTTTTGGATCCCTCTCCTGGACTTTGAGATACTCTGAGACATGTCTTGGAAGAGCAGGAAGAATGCAAGAGGTCTATCAATATAATGGGAACCTTTTGGGAAGTAATTATACATGGAGCTGACAGAGAACCATGTCTTCTTACCTTTTTGCCAGGTCATATTCCTTTGCTTCGAAGTACAATTTGGCAAATAAAAACCCCTTGACTGGCTTCTATGGAGAAAAAAAAACATTCTAGATTAAATAAGTAAATAAGAATACTTTAATTACATGCTCTTCCAAGACATGTCTCAGAGTTTCTTCCCGTCGGCATTCGGGCTCATCAACAGAGCCGGGTCCCCCACTGACTGATATTCCACCGGTCACTTTCTTTCATACTGCACACGTACTGGAACTACAACTTTATTCTCTTATTTTATACTAACCCATAGCCTTATTCTACTAACCCATATCATTAGCGTTTCATCTGTCTTGTTGTCTATAGTTACACTGTCACGCACCAACCGCCAAGTCAAATTCCTTGTATGTATGACATATTTTAGCAATAAATGTTTCCTGATTCCTGAAGAATAAGCGAACTAACATTTCGAGATTGTCCAGATTCTGGATTTAACGTATCTGGTGCAAATAAATTCCCTTCAATGCCAACAATGTCAAACAACCTAAACTATGACGTTTCGGTCGGCATCGATATTTTTTAAATCTGACCGTGAAGGATTCGGAGGAATATTTCAGGCTCAACGTTGACTTAGCGGCGTAACGTTAACTCCTGTTTACAGGGAACCCCGTCGGAACTTAAGCTTCCGTTTCCTTAGTAACGTTAAGGTTCGGCACGCAGCTAGTACCGCGTCAACTAACGTTACACGACGGGTTAACGAAGCCATGTTGTCCCGCAACGTTTTAAAGTGGTAACGTTACTCGCTAACTTTTACGCGAAACTTACTCCAAGTAGCTTTGCTAGCGGTGGCTAACTAGCCCCGGCTAACCCCCCATGCCGCGCATTTCTGAGCGTAAACGGGACGACCGGTCTTTGGTCCTCACGCCGGCGGCTAGCCAGGAATAATTCACGGTTCACAAAATCCCAGTTAGCGGATTAAACTGCATTTTAATCAAAACTACAACTGGTGCCGATTATATCCCGGTTATTCCTTAAACCTGACACATGCTGGTCTTACATGATGGCAGCGGTGTGCTAGCATTAGCCAAACGTTACCTCTTTGAGTGAGGGCGAGGAACTCTGTACTGAGGAAACGTAGCGGTCCACTTCAGCTTTACTCCGCCGCATGACTTCCAGAAACAGATACCCCTAAAATGGTTGGCTATGGTGCATAGAGTACCGGGAATTCACGAAAAATAAAGACCGACATTAACATCGGTTCCACTATCACCGCGGAACGTTAACTCCTCCTACTGCGTAGTCTCGCGGTCAAATGACTAACGTGATGACGTCATTTGCTCGCTTGAATCACTCCCAACCAATGAAAACCGAGGTACAGTGTGACGCACCTTATTATGGAGGAGGTGGGCTGATTAGGGTGAACCATCTGTATAATCCACACTCTGAATGTTTTATGTACATGTCTAAATCAAATAGTCTGGTAATTCATCAATATGATTATAAAATCTAGTTTGCTTATATTTTGTAAGGATGGATGGATAATTATTAAAAATAAATTCCAGTAATAATTGCAATGATTTCAACAAAGTTGCATTATTGAACCATGCAGCTTGCCTTATCTGGGAAAATTTGAGTAGTGTATTCCTTTTCTATGTGTATCAAGTGTCAGTGTGAACAACTTCTATATCCATGTCCGCAATTTATGCCCCTTGAATGGGTGTACAATGACAAATTGAAAATAAAAAACATTACTACATGCACTTGTATCATTGACACACAATGTTTATTCAGAAGAGCGTGCAGAAATACTTTAGGTATAATGAAAATAGCCTTCAATTCAAGTTTAGGACATGCACGTTGGTGTTTACATGAATAAATAGTGTCTTTTGACAAGCAAAGATGATATACAATATGAGAGTTGCCATGGTAGTAAGTTGTCAACTGCATTTTTTAGTGGAGCTGAAGTTCAGAATCTAACTATACCTCTACATGACAAATATTGTGACACGGATAGTGAAATAGTAAAAAACTTCTAGAAAATAGTGGAATGTGTTTTTCTATAAAACTACCAGGTAAAAGATGAACAGTATCATGGGCTGCTTAAGTGAAACTAGTCTGTCCCATTGGCAACGGTTTACCGAAGAGGATCTGAGCCCTGAGACCGTCGGTACACCCTGCTAAGACGATCCCTTTCTTTGGATTACAGACAGCAGAGACACGTGTTCTCCGACGTCCAGTCTCAGCACATGCCATCATGTTGCAAGACACACAGTTACCAGCTGCCAGGCAATAAATCCTGACACTGTGAAGATTATGTACAGAGTTTGATGAATTTATCAGAGGTGCTGTTTTGAATATCCAGTCACCATCGTGTGTTATCAACTGTAAATTATAGTAGTTACATCAAAAAGTGAAGAGTTTACACGAGGGAATTCATTTAGCTCTTGTATTGGATTATCTTAGATTGTACAGGTGAACCTAACACACTGGTGACTGTGTACATAACAGTTGATGTAGATGGTTTCACATATAAATTGCATAGCACATTTGGGCAATCCAACATACTCCAGGTGATGGTTGAGTTCATCACTGTAACATTAAGGAGAACACTGTATAATGTCAAACTGTAAATATAACAGAAATTCTACTCCAGAGATGAGTTGAGAATGTTTTTAGCATTATATAAAATACAATTTAATAAAAATGTATTCAGCGCAACTTTCTTTGGGTTGTGTTTTTTTAAAGCTCATTTGAAATGCAGGACCATTATCATCTGTGTTTACGGCTAATGCATTAATGGAAATAAAGCAAGCATGTGAAAAATATTCAGTACAGTATTTGACCCAAAAGGCACTGAAGAGGTTCATTTCAAACCTACTGAACAATCTGTCTGTTAGTCTTCCGTCAGTTTAAAGATGACGAATAGATCTTCTGTAACCGAAAAGACAAAAGATGGTATGTTCCTTTTAAATGCCAAGCTAAATTGAACATACATTTAATGTAAAATACACAAAGACGTTGTTATACGATTGTCAACTCTGGAAATGTGACTTGCATGGTCACGTCGGGGGTCTCATCTATTTCCCCCGTTCACTTGCGGGCGACAGTCTCAGACAGCTTCTTCAGCCTCTTCTTCAGCTCCAGAGGGAATTTCTCGTAGCACTTCTTACACACCGGCTTCATGTCAAACTCCACAAACTTGTTTCTGTGGTGAGAGTTCAAGTGGGGAAAAGTGGCTTAGTAACTTGCTGGTTTGTAAGTACATTCTTGCACACAGACAATCACACATTTCATAGACGTTAATATTGTGGGTGGCCATTTTTAGAATGAAACTATTTATTGAAGGTGTCTTTGTCTCGGTGCTAATTTATACATGGTGGGGGGAGAAATCCCTCAAAATGACATTTGGGTTACTTCTTTGAATAGTTCCTGACAAATTACGTTTGTTTCAACCGTTTAGTAATTCTTGACAGCGAGATGGATGGCATTACAATACAGTGTTACTGTAAAATAGGTATTGATGATAGCTGTGATAACTAATTGTTAATAATACTCGTATGAAAACACAGGTGGAGCGAATCAAGCGCCTTCCCTTTAACTACACCAACAATGGCCAGCTCTTTAAAGCGTTTCCCGCCGGCTGTCCTGGACAACATTTGTCCCTGAAGCAGATCGTCGCTGGCGCGGCACCTGTTCAACCCGCTGGGACATTAGCACGTCCACAGCTGCGGCTGGGAAGCTGCCGGAAGAGATTATAGCGCTACCCTTCATAACCAGACGCACCGAGGAAACAGGCAAATCAGTCATGTCACATGGTGACGGGATGGCGCTGTTTGCACAGCAGAGATTTGTGCGAGCCCTTAATCCTCGCTGGTGTTTCTGGCTGAGAGGCGGTGATGGACCGGCACATTTTCTAGTGTTAGGCCACTCAAACATATTCAGTCTCTGCTTATTCACAGCCGGACAAACAAAATATGACATGGAACAAAAACGTGTGATTGAGACCGTTTGACATGTGATAAACAGAGACAGGAGGAAAAGATGGAAACTGACCAAAGGAAGAACAGTTGAAGTGAGGAGAAAGGAGAGCGGGCGGATCACAGGCACATTAGTTTCTTCTTCTTCTCTTTGGAGTCGCGTTCGCACTTGGCCAGCCGCCGTTTCATGTCGTCCGGCAGGCGCTCGTAAGCAGTGCTTACATACCGGCTTCAGATCCACTTCCACAACACTTATCTCTGACAGTGCAGGGAGGGAGAGGGAGATGGCGCGGGGTTTGAAAGAGGTGGAGAGAAAAGGGTAGCGCAGTTGGAGGGAAGGAGGAGACAGACATTGAGGAGGCATAGGTAGAACAGGGGAAGATGGATGAGAGGAAGACGTAGGAGGAAGAAAAGTGGAGCAAGAGAAACACAAAACAAGAGAAAGGTGAAAAAAAACTGAACGAACAGGATTGAAAAAGAGTTAAGGCAGTAAATAGTACCGGATGCAGGGCAGTGACAGAAAAAGGACAGGAAAAGAGGGAGCTGGACCGAATGTGAATGTGTGGCAGTCTTCACAGAGCTTGACTAAGAGCAAATTAATACTTGCTCTATCTTTGTGTGGCCACTCCCCAGTGACATCATCAATGTTACACTGCGTCACCTTGTCACTTGTCACGTGTCACTTACTTGAGGGTGAGCTTGGTGTTGCAGGTGGAGCAGGCAAAACAGTTGACACACCAAGCCTTGTTGAGGGCGGACACCACTGAAAAAACAAAAAACAAAACACTGTCACAAGAGACGCCGTTGCAACTCACCGTCACATGGCTGAAGATGAACACATTCGGTAAGAGGTTCTCTAACAAACACTGGTTGGTAGGGCAGCACCATCAATAAAACATTTATATTTTTACAAAAAACAGCTTTCTTACCATCGCCTTCAATCACACGGTTGCAGTGGTAGCAAACATCTCCAAACAGCTGAGCGTGACGGAGGAAGAGAGACAGAGAGTGAGCAACAGAGCGACAAATCTCACACAAGTTACAGAATTATGTAATACTTCTTTCGTGTGCTCAACGTGAATAACGAGAGTTACCTGGTTATAGTGAGTCTCACAGTAGGCCAGGCCCTTGCGCTCGTAGTGACGGTGTCCCAGGAAGGGTTTCTCACACTTGGCACACACAAAATGCTGCGAACAAACCCAAAGCCAAGCGCACAGTGTTAGCACGGCCGCCAGTCAGAACATTATCTCAGTCTGACGTCATCAGCTCAGTCCAGATGTGCTGTGGCCGCGTTCAGGGGCGAACACAAGACAGCAGAGAAGGTGGACGGAGTTGTGAGCTAGAGAGGAAGCTCTAATCCGCCAACCAGACACCGGGGGAATAAAGGGTTGGATATATGACAGAATCAAAAGGCGGGTGTTTCCCATTTCTGATGAATTCCTCTCCAGCGACGGAACATCACACGTGTCTGTGTGTGGTAGAGGGAGATTACGCCAATATGGGTTTCCTAAAGCCAAAACATAAAGAATTTGGCCAAACCTTAATGTCTGTCAATATTCAATGTTGGGCGATTTGACGATTACAACAAACCTGTCAATTAAGAACGGATTTCCGACATATTTTGGTTTAAAAGGCCTCTCACAGAGAATTAAACCTCAGGGACCTTTATCAACCAATTGAATCCCAAATATTTAACTGCTTTGTGCTTTCATGATAAATGAAAATGCTGTTAGGGAATTAAGGCAGCTCGGTTGAGATTATGATCTGAGCTCGAGATAAAAGTTGTATTTAATTGTAGATCATGACACAGCATTGGCCGCACAGACACTATTAGTGTAGCCCTCAGATGGAGGCCGGGAGGTGTGAGCCAGGCAGGGAGAAGTAGGACACGAGGGCAGCAATCGATATCAGGCCGATACTTATTCCCCTCACCATGTCGAAGTGTCTCTCACAATAGGCTCGACCACCTCGCTCAAAATATAGGTGGCCCTGAAATGGGCGCTCACACACAGTGCACACGTGATGCTTTATGTGGGGCAGGAAAGACAGGAAAACAAGCACAACGTGAACGAAAGAGATAACAAAGAGACGGGTAATGGCGGAAGGAGTGTTAAACTCGGGAGATGGAGCGCAATAAACACAGCTGTGGAGATAAAGCTGGGAAAAGTATGAGTCACACATGAGGCACGTATTAAACGTTTGCTCTCTTTGGACGTTTCTCAAACATATAAAAGTAAATTGTACTTAGCAGAAAAGCCATAAAAACATTTCTGTATATATCATCATGAATCATGAACCTTGTAGATTTCTGTTCACCGCTGTGCGTTTAGAAAACAGGAAAAAAATCCTTTAAGATACAACAACGACACTACATCATTAGATAAACTCTTTTGAATTTCCAAAAGTTCATACCTCCACGTGCCACTGTTTGCCCATGGCATTAACCACGCGGCCCTCGATGGGTCTCCTACAGGCCCCGCAGATGGGGACCCCCATCTTGTCGTGGCAGGGCAGACAGTAGAGCTCCCCCTTCAGCTCCCTGGCATCAGCAGTCAGCTCTTTGCTGCGGAGGGAAACCCCAACAGTTACAAGGGTTACAATTATGATGTGTGTGTGTGTGTGTGTGTTCATCCAATTGCAACTACACAGTTAGTCCACGAGAGAGCAGTCTTTGGCCCATCATGTAGTGGTGTTGGTATTTTGTTTGCAGAGACAATACATTTCTGAGCTGCTTTGTTGGATCTCTGAGGTTAATTAGGAATTTACAACAAATTTGTATACCTCATCTCACTATGCAGAATACCTCAGTTATGTTATGAAAAGCAGCTTAAACATAGCATTTGTCAGAGAGGGGGGTTCCTGTGATAATGTGAGGGCCCTTGGGCAGAGGATATTGCATGTGTACAGACTGTGAAGCCCCCCGAGGCTTTACAAAATACATTTTATTGAATAGAAACAAAGGATTACAAGACCTCTATCTGCCTGAGGCATATTTTGTGTGTTACCCACAACCTGACTCAGCTTGCAGCCTAAAGTCCTCCCACTGCCTTCATGCTCTCTTTGATTTGTGAGACTGACACAGCTGGAAGAAATGTGTGTGTGGAAGTGTGTGTGTGTGTGTGTGTGTGTGTGTGTGTGTGTGTGTGTGTGTGTGTGTGTGTGTGTGTGTGTGTGTGTGTGAGTGTGCGTGCATGTATACCCGCAGTTATTGCAGTTAAAGTGATCGGGGTGGTACGGGTCGTTCTTGAACAGAAGCGGCTGCTCCTCAATGATGGCGTGGCACTTCTGACAGATGTACTTGCCGAGGCCTCGAGCTTTCTCTCTGTTGTGACATGGACGACACAGGTGCCTGATGGGAGAGAAAAAACACAAATGGAGAAAGATGCTTGAGACAGCTTGAGACAGTAGACAGTATGACAATAGACAACACAGCAGTGCACAAGTAATAAAATAAAATGAAACGCTAATGCTATGGGTTAGTAGAATAAGGCTATGGGTTAGTTTAAAATAAGAGAATAAAGTTAAAAATTAAAAATATTTTAAAAGTTAAAAAATATTTAAAGAAATTAAAAAATAAAGTGCACTAGCGAACAAGTGACAAAAGTGATGAGTGAAAAATGACAGTAAAGTGACATGTGCAGAATGAAAGAAAGTGACCGATGGAATGACAGAGTCAGTCAAGCTTAAGCTTAACCCTTCTCCAAACATTTCAAGGAAATGTGTTAGATAGTTTCCCTCTAGTCCGAATAGCTTTTGAGGCTAGAACGATCAAAAGGAGGTTAACAAGCAGAAGGTCATGAGAATTCTTCAGATAACGGTTTGCCGATAAAACAGCGTCATCGAAAACCACACGCCCGTCTGGCCACAGACATCGACTGATATTAATAAACAAATAACAGAATGGTGGGTGGTTGGAGAGGAACTGACCTTCCAGCATTCTTAACAAATCCAACATCTGCGAGCACAGCCTGGCAGATGTCACAGCAGAAGCAGTCTGGATGCCAGCTGTTGTTCATGGCCTTGATCACGCGGCCGATGATGAACTCACCTGAGAGAACACCAGGAGATTAAAAAAAGGGCATGAAGTCAAAGCGCCATCTCAATGAGACGGGTGAAAGACAGTGGGTGGATAGTATTTATTACTTCAGTTGCTGAACTTACCACACTGGTGGCAGCAGGGAGCGAACAGCATCTGGAAGTCGTGTTCGCAGTATTTCCTGCCTTCAAACTGTCCACGGGAATTTGCACACAGTTAATTAAAGCAAACAGCTGTATGTTGACACGATTTAATGGCAGTAACATGAACAGTGTAGTCCTAAGCGACATTTCCAGACGCCTATATGGATTTTCAGCAAAAGAGGACAACCACTTTCATGATTTTGAAGTAGAAAAAGCAATAGCCACTTGTAAAAATACGTTGTGCTGTATACTAAATTACACGTGTCACATGACCTTTCTTTGACTGCTCAGCTTCGAGAGCATTCTGGAGAAGCAACGTTAAATTCATCAAAAAGGTAAAGATTGAGGGATGGATAATGACAATCGATGGCGTGGCACTAGTCTTCTATATTGGATCTTTTAGTCCTTGTGATTGTGCAGCGCAAAACATCAATGCGGGCGTTAATGTCAAAATCACACAGCCCAAGTCCCACAGTTATAAAGTTATAGGAAAACAACATTTTCTGAATTTCTCCAGAGTTGAAATGATTAAAGATAGCTCTTTGTGTGGCTTTCACGTTCTTTCCACTTTAAATATACAAAACCCAAATCAGTAAGGTCCTACTTTCAGCGTGTCCAGTTACAGGCTCAAGCTACAGTTACAGTCGGTCGCTTATTTATGGCAACAGATTCAATTATTTACAAGGACTCAGAGGTTCATGTGAATCCTTTGGCTTTGATCTTTGTATTGATCGGTGCATTAGGGACACTTTCGAACCCAAACAGGAAAGCGTCAGGCTCTCTGGGGCCTGTCGGAGAACCCGCCGGCCTCGCGTCAAAGCTGGTGATCATCTCACTTTCTGGAATGGGCTTGAAAACATTTATGGTTTATTGTTGAGCTCACCCGTCTTTATTTACCTCAACGGGCCCATGTGTTTAAATTCTTTGTCTGAGGAATGTGCACCGACAAAAGCCTGATAAACAGTGATGCAACTGTCTGGAAAGAGAAAGATGGCTCGTGGCGGCCCCTTCAAATGTGTTCTGAGCTGCTAAGACAAGCGGAACCAGGATTACATGGATCTTTTCAGCGCAACGGCCGGAAATACATGCAAACATCTCCCGAACCATTTGATGTGTCAACTGTTTTTGGCATGTGTTGACCAATCTGAGTGGATTCCATTTGCATCCCACGCCTTCCTCTCGCAGTGTAATAAATCTGTCAGTTGCTGCATTCTTCATCTTTTCAGATGAGTGTCAGACCGAAAGAATCGTCCACGTCAAAGTGTTACCTCGTAGAAGAGTCCCTCTGGGAATTGTTGGAAGCACTGGGCGCACACGAAGCACTGCTCGTGGTAGAGCTCCCCGTTGCTGTTCACTATCTTCTCAGCCGGGGCAAAACCACTTTTGCAGCGCTCGCACATGGCGTTGGCCAAAGCGTTGGCCATGTTGCTGGGGGGGGAAAAACAACAAAAATACCCCAATCAGAATACGCTCACATAGTCAAAACACGCGTTGACATTGAAAGACAGTACTTATGATAGTTAGAAGCAGCAATGCAATATCTGCTAAAAGACAAAATGACGAAATCCGGCATCTAATGACCTTTACTGTAAGAAGGTATTGCAAAGGAATTATGTATGAATGCTGGTATAGGAAAGTATAAGCTATATTGACAGTTTATTCATTTTTATTTGACACATTTAATTTCATCTTGGTTTGGTTGATGGTACTGGTATGTTGCTTTGAGAAGTTCCATTTCTTTAGCTTTTTTTTTAAAATTGGGAAGTTCAACCTTCTAACTTTACGACTTAAATGTTCACTAAAATGATGATATTCTGTTACATTATGGTTCTGTAATACACTATCCTTTTTATCGGACATGTACACTACGTTGAACCTAATTTATAATACAATAAATCTATTTTTAATTTCATTTAAATGTGTTTCTGCAGGAACAACACGTTTCCCAAAAGCAGAGATCATGCTGCGACTCGCCAATAATTCAACTTCTATCACACGTTTCCCTGCCACCAACCACTGGAACATGGACTCTACACGAGGAGAAGAAGGAAGAGAGAAGGGAAAATGTGATGCAAGATGTTATCAGCCCCGTAAAGTCACACACACAACTCTTGGTCAGGTTTATTTTGGCTCAGCGTATCAGGGCGTGGGGATCACTGAGGTGGGAAACCCAAATGTTGTCTTTAGAGGGTCGAGCTGAAGTCACAGTTTATGCACAGCGTGTGTACGCTGGTCTCCACTTTTCAAAGTGCCTCGGTGAATCTGTTCCGTCGTTAGAAAAAGGCCATCGGCCGGCCCGCGCTGGTATTTAGCGGCACGCGAACGAGCATCCGGGCAACACGTGGAAAAAGACTCCGCGCTCTCACATCACACCAGGTGCGTTCTCAAGTCTATGACGAATGGAGGCACGCCCCAAAATCTGCCACACGGCTTCATCAAACATCTTCACCTTTTCTTCAACTCACCATCACATGTATTAGTCAGTCACAATGTCAAACATTTAAGTTGACTGATGTGAGAGGTTAATACTAGAAAAAGTTGCCAGTTGCCAGTAACAGAAAGAGGAAAATAAAGAGCGAGCGGGGGAATGGAGGGACTGTCCCGGCGTCTCTGCTTTGTTTGAAAGGTCAGAATACCAAAGTGTATCCAGGCAACACAAACACACACAAAAGGCAGGGTACTTTCTTTTTTTTTTTAAATGGAGCGATGCCATCTGTTCACATTAACTTAGTTAGATTCAACTGAGAGTCAACAAAATTCCCCAAAATCTCAAGACACGTTGATTGTCACTTCTGCTCCAAGTCAGTGGTAGGAAAAAAAATCACAGCTTCCATCTGGGTCCAACTTATCGAACACACGTTGCTGTGTACACCCGGGCTGGCCCGGTATCACACGGGCACACCGCCCTGCCCGTTCCGAAGGTTTTTTTTGGAGGAAGTGACACATCCCGCAGGCATTTCCCACCCTCCGATCGGCCTTACTCACCCCGTGGGATGGGAGAAACAAGCCAACAGTGGAATAAAACTGGAATAAAATGGGTTTTCTAAAGCCACATGCAATTCAGCGCCCCGGGTCATTGGTGGGGGTCGTTGGTGATACAGAAAAGACAGGACCCCTCTCCAACTCCCTGGCTCAGCAGAGCCAAACTGCTTCACCCCCCCCTGCACCATCCAGACTCTCCATCCAGTGTGCTGACCTACTGACTGACCTCATTTTTAGAATCATTTTAGATCGTTATTGCAAATAGTTAAATACAAGTAGGTGGGGAGCAGGTTTCTTCTTCCACATTGCAAACCCTCCCCGTAAGGACCAGTGACTACAAATGGAGGGCGGATGTCGGCGGTAGAGATGATGGCATCCTTTCCTGTTGTGAATACCTTCTGCTTCCCTTCACCCTCCTCTGGTCTCCATGTGTCTTCAGTTCTCTTGCACCCGCTAAAGCATCCTACACATCTGCAAACACTACAGCACCGAATAGGCAGTCAAATAATCCTTCATTATTTTCATCTCTTACCGCAAATTTATGGAAAGCTGAATGCAAGATATTGCTCACAGCTGTCTGAATATTCAAAGCTCAGCCGATGCCTTTGTGGTTCTTACAGAGTATAATTTTCAAAGAATACTTTCATTTTCTTCTTTCACAGCTGTACAGTTTCGTTGAACAATGTCTATGGTCAACAGGCCTTTTAATGTGATACTAAGCGAGACTTTGGCTGTAAATGCCACGCATGGAGGCTTTAATGTCTCTATGACCACAAGACTGTTTCTCTTGTGCCACCCGAGCTCAAACCACTTTCTATCTTCTGCAGACAGGCAGATTGGCCACTCCAGTCCTTTCACAAACCTGTGGGTGACCCCACGTCCACCTTTTCCTACGGCCTAAGATGAGCTACGATCGGTCAGAAATATGACGTATGACGTATATTTAGCCTGCCGCTCATGAAAGCATACTTGGAATGCTGCTTTGCAAATTCTACTCTGCGTAACAACTTGAAATAGCCCCTCCTGTGCTCCACTCCGGTGGCACTCGGAGCTATTCCTGCGCTAACATGGCACCCGTTTAAACCAAATCCAACGGGCTGGTAACCGTGGCGACTAGAACGTGGTTACCAGTTACGGTTCTTCGCATTCTGCGACACAACGGTAAGCTCAGAGCACTTTGTGGCACTTCCCTTTGAAAAGAAAAAAAATCCTCCTTAATCTGTGACAGTAATTTAGTGATGTAGTAAATCCTCCACCAATCACAAGACAAGGGAATTAAACATCAGGTAGTGCATTTAATAATGACCTTGAGAATGAAAAGGCCTCACAACTATTAACTGTTACCTCCATTACTGACTCAATACTGCTACTAAAACCAATCTGCACGCTTCACAACACGCACAACACAACACGCTTCTTTCCTGCTGAAATATCTCTGAAACCGTATGTAAAAGTTATAAAAATAAAATTAGGCATGGCTAAAGGAACATATTCCATCCAATCATACGAAGTCTCCTCATTAGTGCAAACATTATCCTGGTTGAAGAACTAACTATTTCTCTTTAACCCCGGTCTTAAGTAAACTGTGTACTTACAAGCGGGCGTAAAAATCACAAAACTCCTTATAGACTTTGACATCGCTCTTTCGTCTCTGGGACTTGGACACCGCGACCTCGGCCTCCCCCCCCTCGCCGTCCTGGAGCCTCTGGCGGTAACCGTTCCTCTCCATCTGGACTCCATCGCCCGGGGCTTCTCCATCCTCCGGTATCGACGGCGGCAGGACGCGGCCGTTCATCTCCATGCTCGCCCACGCCGGACCACGGGGGGGGAGACTGAGGGAGTCCAGCGGGCACCACGTGTCCAAAAACAACAAAACAAACCAACACTCGAAATCCTCCGTGCTTTGTTTTCATGCGCGTTAGCACTTCCAGGAAGGGGAAACGCTGTCGAGGGAGCGGAGCCGCGATGCACGCAGCACGGAGGAGACCCAAACACTGATCAGAGTGCGCTGGCCGTACCCTCCCTCTCTCTCCCTCTCCCCCTCCCTCACACGCACTCCCTCCTTCTCTCGTTCGCACATCAACACTCGCGCTCTTTCCTCAGTCGGTCACCCCTCCTGTCCCACTCGCTGTCTATTCTGGGGCAGGTTAGTGACACTAAAGAGCCAAACATGACGCCAATCCAGACAGAGGTCACTCATTATACATATATATATTATATTCTCTTTCACTGATTTCCAGTCCATGCCTAATTTGACTTCAATCTGCGTGGGTTCGTGTAACAGCTGGAACAGTGCGGTTTTTGGGGAGATACAACAACCTGGCTCCGACTGCTAAGTGTTGCGCAAAGTAGGAATGCTGCACAAGAAGGTGGAGAAGCTGAAGTAGTCAGAAACACTTCACGACAGAAACAGAACGGATCCCTGTTTATCTCAGGGATTGTATAAACACACCAGAGCAGTACACAACACACACCACAAGAAACTGGAGCCAGATTGTTTTGGTCTAATTAGTGTGTTAAATGTTTAAATAATGAAATGTTTATAGTGTAACAAATAAAAGCTACACGGCTTCGGACTGGAATCTGAAATGATTTACTGCAGGAGTCGTGAACTTTGGATTTCCTCTGCGTTTGCAGTTTTCATGACCCCCTCGCACTGGTTAGCCGTGATAGTTTTTAGGCTGCTTATTTTCCCCCTGACAGGATTAAAACCCGGGGAACATAATGGAAAAAATGGTCTGCGTCTTTTCCAAGTGAGTCACCATAAATGTTTGAAACAACAACGTGAAGCCATCTCGAGCTGCAGTGAAGTATGCTAATCATCCCCAGAAAGCCCGTATCGGTCCGCAGGCATTACTTCAAACCGACAAATATGCGTCTCCTCTGGTAAATGGTCGCTCCCGAAGTGGTTAAACCCAACTGGCTTCTCAAATTGACGACCGCCTCCCAAACCACCGAAACCACATGGTTCCACAGCCGGATACACGCTTCAGAGAGACAAACATGTCGGAGACTCGCTGCTGTGTTAATCCAGCAAAACAAAGGGACGAACAATGAATATACACATCTTTAAAAAAGGGTCCAAAACAATGTTCCAGACCTGTGTGTGTGTGTGAGCAGCTGAAACATGCCTCACACTCATTCAATACAACACTCTTCTACGTGACCATAATTCTACAAATAGACACCTAGTGGAGCCTCATCTCCAAACTAGGTGCTGGCAGCTGCTGCTTAGTGTCTGTTTGTTAGGGGGGGGGGGGTTATCCCTCGTAGGGGGACGAATAACCCTCCTCTGAAAGTGGAAAGTAAGACATTGAAATATAATCGCACTGTTTTAATTTGTATCATTTATTTGTATCCTTTCTAAACACACCACATTAGCACATTTTGCATTATTTTACACTGAGTATTCGATCCACTGGTAGTGGCAGTGCAGTTGTTGTGTAGTGTATCAAGAACAGTATACTGGCTTCTGCTCCTGCTCAAAAAAAAACTCACTGTTTGCACTCTACTATTAAGTCTGTGTTCTCCAAATGAATTAGTTAATTAAGTAATAAGCCAAATATTTCCCCAGGCAAAGCTCTAAGAGCCTTTCTGAGAGTGAACAAATGTCTGCCGCGTCCGCTGGGGGCCTTTTGGGAACCTCGCCCACTGCCAGTGTTGAGTGAACGGGCTACAATGGAGCAACAGGAAACGCACGTAATCTGTCCTCCAGATTACAGTCGATGCCGTGTTGAGACGGGGAGGATGGGTGGGGGGCGGGGCAGGGGGGGGGGGGGGTCCACCCCAAAATGAGAGCTGCACAATCAGCAACATACAATTCTGCAGATTTGATTTGGGCTCAATTAAACGTAATCAAACATATATTTATATGTACGTGATAAAACGACGCATCTAGAGTTGAAACCATCAGAGTGGGAATGTTCTTTATGAGAAACTTCCAACTACCCTAATTGGCAAGTGATGAAAAACCAGTGATTCCTTTAGTGGCAGAGTTAAAGTCCAGAATGACAGTAATGCTATGCTAATACTGAACACACTGGCAACCACCACCCAGTGGAATATTGCTTTAAACAATGGTATGAAAAATTCAAATAAAATGCTGATAATCTTGGGTTGAATCTGTCATGCTTCAATGATGAAACACTCCCTCGTTTCAATTGAACTGACGCCGTTTCAGCATCCTCGCTAAGCTTTTTTATGAGCTGCCATTGTTGTTTTAAGGAGTAGTCGCCTCTCCGTCTCACCATGAGAGAGAAAAGGTGCGCTGGATGGCAACCTAAACTTAAAAATGACCCCAGCAACTGTCCGCAGCTGACAAAAAGTCTGCAGTGTGCGTTCCCTCCGCAGGGTAGGACTTCTTCATAGGGTCACTAGAGAGGTCACAGGTCGGGTCTCTTGGAGAATGAAGTAGGAAGTATCCTGTTCTAATGAACTGACCTCTGTGGTAGTTATATTATGGACGGGGAGCCGTTAACAGAGAGGGATCTACTGCAGTGATTCACAAATATCCAAATATCCAAGCCAATAACACCAGCAAATTCCGGAACGATGTCCTTGAAATCCAAAACAACTCCTTTAAGAAAGGACACGGAATATTTTTTAACCTTATACATTTTTTTACCCCAATACAGATGTATCAATAACTTATGAGCTAAACAATCTATGGCGTATATTGTAGAACTCCTGATGTATTTTTCTTATATTGATTTTGACTGTTGCAGGGGTCACCATTTTTTAATTAGGCAGCCAACCGTGGATACATTTACTGAATTGCGATTAATTAAAATAACAGCTATAAGATACAAGATCGGCCTATTGTCACTGATCCCCAAAACAGCGGTTTGATTGCAAAACAATTCAAGACGGAAGCAACAAGCTCGACTCGCAGCAGAGATAAGCGGTTTCAAGCCAAAGAAGCAAATCAAATAAACCCCCCCGTCAAACTCGCACTGTGTCAACAGCCACCATGGTGAACAGACATAAGGGCTGTTTGGCAAAACCATTTTTTCCGGAGGCAAGGCGCAGAGAGTTTGCACACCACACAACACACACACCTGTAACGCTAATTTAGTGACTGTGCAAACATCATTCATCGCTAACATTTCCTTTGTTTTGTACTTCTTGTTCCCCGACGCCCAACCTGACCTGCACATTCAGGGTTCATTTCCACAGGAACGCACTGAGCCCAACGACTAACAACAACAGGTTAAACAAAGTAAGTAACTTTTATTTGACAAATGTAAGTGGGTCTTCTGGGCGGCTGGTAAACGCGTATCACCTCTATGACCCTGTTTGGCCAGGTCGTCATTTAAAAGCACTTAATATACTGCTTCAACGTTCCTGGTTGAATGATGTATTTAGTTTTAAATTTATTGGACATGATTCATTGAAACTCTCTTGACGCCACAATGTGTTTCACTTTGGGTCCAGGATGCAATTTAAGGACAAGTGTGTTTGTACGGAACATTTCCTACCCTGATGGTTTCTGTAGATTAAAACATACTTGGCATGAGATTTATTTTTAATAATAATAAAAAAGCAGGGGAAAACTATTGAGAACTTTGTCACCGCTGTGTTTTCTACGGATACCTTTTTATGTTTTACATTTTCTCATCACTATGACGGGCTTTCCTTCGTCCGACTATCAAGGCCCCCCACCCCGTTTTGTGGCTCGGTCACATGATCAGTATCTGCAATTATGTATTGATGCAACTTGCAGAAAGAATTTGGAAACTCTCGCAGACAAGCCATGCTTCTCGAATGAAACGTTGCTGACTAAAGATGCACAAAGTACACAGTTGAGTCAGATGTTATCTCCTCTGACACGATGATAAATGATGCAGCTACGGTTTTGCTTTGGGCACTTTGCACTGGGGAAGAAATATAAAAAGAACCCGCCCGACCAAATTGTTTTCTGCGTTGCACGGGAAGGAGTGAGGCTTCAAGGGAAGACATTTTGGTTTGACTTTGGACACTTCTGAAGAGAGAGCTCCCTCTTGGTACACATTCCTCACATTACTACAGTCCTCTAATCGCTTCAGGATCACACACACACACACACACACACACACACAAAATGTGACGAGAGACACCAAGAGAGCGACAGGGAGGGGGTTGGGAGAGAAATTTGAAAAAGACCATCTAAAATTGATGTTATTGCATTGGGAAAACGATATTGTGAAAGACTGCACATGTGGTACATTGTGTGTTGCTGCTGGTCACATGACTTGGAGGAATTCAGCCTTCAGCTGTAGGGTTCGCCGATTAAATACTCGACCCCTCGTCACTACTCGACACAAAGGAGGAGTAGTTTTCTTTGGTGGCGTTGCTGTTTCTGTACAAAACACTCTGGGATTCTCTGTTGTGGAATTGAGAGTCGATCAACTCGAGCGAACGCGACACAAACACATACACTGAATGAAGCCCAGTTTAAATAGTTTACCAAAACAGAAAAAAAAAGAAAGTAAAGAGAAAGGCAACGGATTTGTTAGTTAGAAAACCTTGGAAATGGAAAGTAATTCAAAGTATTAGAAGTGTGAGGCAACCTGGCAATGAGCAGCAGGGAATCTGTGGGATTAGTAACTGTTGGGCCATCAGCTGACTTTATAGTTCATCAGTAGCACTTTTAAAAAGCTATAAAAGTAGCCACAAATATTCTAAATATCCAGTGCGCCAGCGGGGGGGCAAAGGCCTGACTCGTTCTTTAGTTACTTATTGCACCATAGAATTTCTATGAGGAACCATTTACAGCTATTGTCCCGACTTCTGGCTAAAACGTGTGTGTACACCGTCCGATACAAACAGGCAGCGTATCAGCAAACAAACGCACAACACTACGACAGCGGCAGCTGTCATCGGCGTCTCGTCAATGATTAAGCGGAAAGCCTCGGAGGAAGGACTCACCTGAGGCTCTCCCCGGCCACGATCCCATAGCTGTCTGGTCTCTCCTGTCTTCGTCTGTACAAGTCCGAGTTTGACAACTCTTTCAGCCTCAAAGAGTTC